ATTGAAATGTGGAATTTAAATTCTAGTTCACATTGAACCTAATGGGGTGCAGGTTTCCTAGTGGTTAGTGAGTGAACCCCATGTATGAAGGCTATAGTAGTCTGAGCTGGTGGTCCACGTTTCGAATCTGACCTGCATGTCACCCCCCACTCTCTTTCTCTCTCCCTGATTTCTCTCTCTATCAACTGTCCTAGCTCTAATTAAAGGCATAAAACACCCAAAAATGTACCTTTACATTTTTTTTAAAGTTCTAATGTGTATTATAAAGCTATATGTGTGTTGGGTCATGCAGTGACATGTTGTGCTTTGACATGTTGTGTAGTAGTGTCATATTGTATGAATTAGGAGAAGTATATAAATACCTTAAGGTAGCTCATCAGCAACTCATCGACTGTCCCACATCCAGGGATCAGGTCAAGGGACAGGTTGGTGAACACTTCCTGTCTGTTTGATCCTGCAGCACATCTGCAAAATAAAAGTACAATGAGTTAAAATAGAACAACAGACTTTATACCAGGACATAATGTGGAGCTCTCTGTTGACCTTAAATTATAAAATATCAGTTCAGCATAACCCCATAACATACGTTCTACTATCTTCATGGCCTGATACCTGTGCTAGTTTCATGTTCGGAGGTTGTTGTTTTTTTTAAACGGGGGAACTGTCTCTTAAAGACAATACACCCCGTGTGGTCTGTATCTGTGAAGTCGTACCTTCTGCAGATCCTGGTGTTCTCCATCTTGAACATCATTTGCCTTTCCACTGGACAAGTGTAGGTTTTGTCCATGCTGGCTGCCATCATGTGCAGCAGTGGAGCCAAATCAATAATTTGTTGAAAAATGGAGGTCAGGAACTCATGTGCGTCCTGCAGATACCCAAACACAATCAAACAGAGGAGTTAGTACAGAGCAGAAACTGCCAGTTAATTAATGAAACAACGTAAAATAAACCCAGTTTACATACTTTCTGGTTGAAATCTTTGAACTCTGGAGCGTGGACCGATACTGCTCCTTTGAAGGCGGAGAGGAGTGGGATCTTCTGGCGAAGGTCTGGGGAAGTGTATGCCTTCTTTACTCGAAGAAATGATCTGAAAAAGGAGAGGAAAAGCTTAAGAGGCACTGTATTGTATTTGCATTTAAAATATTAAGGAAGTGAATGTACAACTTAGGTTAACAATGATTGGTTGTATGTGATGGCTGCTGTACCTTAGAAGTGCTGCCTCTGGGATTGAACCCCAAACCTGCTCCTGGCAGCTGATCGTGTTGACAAAGTCCTCGAGTGTCAGCAAACTTTGCAGGCAGGAGTTCATGTAACAGTTCTGAGCTGGGTTTGGGAGCCTGACAAACAAACAGAAGAAAAAAAACATGTCTGTATTGTCAGAACTTAAATATAACTTTAATAGATTCATGTTCCTTCAAACTTGTTTCTTGTGTGAACATGTGTAGATGTACTTACCCAAGACACTGGAAGTGGTCATGTCTAAGGAACTTGGTGATCATGGCAGAAGGGGCTTCTTCGATGTGCGTTTTCATGGCTTGTATAATTTTTTTACCCTCATCTGTTTTTTTCCCCTTCTTTTCTTCGGAGGTTTTGATCTCCATCGTCACCTCCTGGTGTGGAGTGGCCGGGCAGGACTTTTCAGGCGTAACGTCCACTTGAATTGGGGGGACCTTATTTCTTTTTAGTTGGAAAAAGGGCTGTTTAGGGGTGATGTCGTTTTGAATTGGGTGAACCTGATTAGTCTTCTGTCGGAAAATACGCTTCTGAGGGGTAACGTCTTTTCGAATTTGGGGAACCTGATTAGTTTTCTGTTGCAAAATGCGGTAATGTTACAGTAGCCTACTAAAAATCGGTCTTGGTCTCACCTTTTGAAGGTCTCGCCTCAGAATCGAAAGCATTTTAACTCTGCCTTGTCTCGGTCTCAGACTGACTGATAGACTATTTGTCCACGTCATTACTCTGATTAGAAGGAAAACACCCCTAAGAAAAACTTCAATTCATATCCAATACATGCTACAGTCGAAATGAGTGACACACACAAATGGATTTTTCAGCGATATTTATATTCTTGTTTTTTTTCTTGGTCATTTTTTCGTTTTAACTTTTGCAATGTGCTCTATATCTATTTCTTCACTAAATAAATAAATAATAAATTAAGAATATGATTAGCTGATGTATAAGTATTGTTGATGATGACTTGTTGTACAGTCCTAATTTGCTTATCAACTCTGAAAGAGGGCCAACCTATCATCTTCTGCAGTCCCACTATTACTGTGAGTAAGGAAGGAGGTGAGGTCAGAGAAAGAAAAGTGAAGACCATGTCTGTCCTTCTACCTCTAATGATCCCATAATAAAATAATTTCATCACCTAGAGTAGCAGTGCCTCAGTTGTTCGAGTCTGTCGTCTCTTAACCAGAAGGTCACATGTCCGATGTGTCCTTGGGCAAGACACTTAGTTGCCAAGTTGCTGGCGTACGAATGGCTTAGTTTATACTGATGGACACTTTACATAGCAACCTCTGCCATTAGTGTGTGAATGAGTGGGTGTGACATGCTTTGTAATAGCACGTTGAGGGTTGCCAGAGGACAACTGCTCCCATGTGCTGGTAGAAAAGCTAATAAACTTACGTAGAGACTTAAAGCCATCTCCTGAAAGTCTCGCTTTAATATCCGAGAACTATTGCGTGTTTAGTGCTTACCTCGTGATCTGAAACTTTGCCAATATTGGGCATCCAGCATTGTAAGACCATAGGTGAGTTAAACTCTTTAGGTCAATTTTAAGCGAGTTCTAAAGAGTTCTTTAGAGATAACAGATGGCTAGATGATAAATGAAAACGCTCTTGTTGTAGTCAGCAGACAATCTTCAGTTTAAATTGTAACAGTAACACTAATCACAGTAAGAAGAATAGTACCTTGTAGGCCATGATCGCCACCCCCTCTGTTAAGGGCCCTGAGGTACAGAGGCATGCCGCCTTGTACCTGAAACATTCTTTCTATCAGTTCCTCAACCATCATCTGTCTGCAGTTTGGCTGAAGACATCAGAAGGCCGCTCAGCAGAGGTCTATACAACCTGACACACAAAGAGACAAACACAAACAAAAAATAGAAATATGTAAGCAATTACAGTGTACTGCATGATAGCATTGTTATTTATTATTAACAACCCTGCAAGAAGCGAACAGTAAGTGATGAAGAGGCAACAGGGCATGTTGGGAGTCAGTTGTGTATCCAGGTTCTAGCCTGGTCACAACAGACTGCACTGTGACATTGGCAAATCAAAATGCAGCAGCCGCTAAGGCATTAGCAATGCTTGGATCCAGGATTCAGGATTGCAACCCTCATAGGGAGGCATTGGATGAGACATGTGATCTCACTGAGGACTTAAGGTGTGTAGTGTTTTCAAGTTCGATCTGAAATGATAAAGGCAGCAAGTCCAAGTTCTTGGACAGCGAACATTGGTATATAAGATTGGATGTCCAGTCGAAGCTGCTGCTGATACCTGATGAATGGCTCCCTTAATCTTGGGGCTTCCTGATAAAGGTTACCAAGGTGTGTAGGGTGATCATCCCCAGATGCTCATTGGCTCGTCTCACCTGTGAATCATTAATCTCAACACCTCCAGTCAAGCCTTTAGAGAACAGACAGCTCAATACTTTCACTTACCAGCATGAAAGCAGGATGTGCTGTTCTTCTGACGTAATAATCTGTCCCTGCACTCCCCTGAAGTGGTGGAGTTTTTGTAAGACCGTATAGATCCAGGTGAGCCTGCAGAACGATGCATGCATGGCATGTAGGGGAGCCTGAGGTCCAAGTGCTTGAAATTGAGGGCCATCCTTCCCAGAGGAGAGGAGTGTTTTCCCAGAGCCAGGCTTTTGGAGCTGTCATACAAGAGGGCATAAAGGATTTTTCCTCCAGTCTATTGAGAATATATTTTCAGTTGTAAAATCCAGAAGCTATTATAAGATCACCTTATGTAGATCATTATAACTACATTCTGAAAGATGCCTTTCAGCAAGCCAAAATTATGACTGCATTTGGGCTAGTGTGATGTCAGAGAAATGGCCAACATATCAATATGATAAATACTTCTGTTATGTGCTGTCCAGATACATTTAAATCATGAATATAATATAGGCTGATGAATTATTATTTTATTTTTAAATTCCCGGGTTTCTGGTTTACTTTATGTTATGGCCTATTTATGTTTGTTTGGTAGCTTTAACAGAGTGCATTTAGATTTATTTCATCATGTTTTCAGTTAAGCTGACCAACACATTATTGACTCCTTTCAGAGTAATGTTTACTAAAAATTGCACTGCCCTGCTGTTTTGGCACCATGTGACACAGACAGGCTGGGGTCAGAAGCCATTGTTGGTTTTGATTTGTTCATGAAATTTTTATGAATATGTTTTCCAAAATTAGCCTTAAGGGTTGAAAAAATACAGTTTTCCTAGTTTGACTGATTGTAACCTTTGGCTATATGGTTGGAACACTCTTAAGTGTGAATAATAAGGATGACAGGAGGTAGAAAACAGCACAGCAACCAAGAGTTCAAAGCTACAAATGAAATTTAAAAAGTGCAAATTAAAAAAAAAAACCTGCGCACTGTTTACTTCACTTTGTTTGCAAAAACGTCATTGTTTAAAATAAATGTAAGATCCTTTCCTATAGAGGCCTAATTAAACCCTCAAAATCAGGATTTATATTCTGCAATAGAGGAGGGTCCAAAGTATTCTAAGCTCATTTATTACCCAGATGTTCTTTACCCCCTCTATCAAGTCTTGTTAAAACCACTGCAGCGACCACCCTCGCTGAGTTTCAACCTTCACCTGGATACATGTGGACTGGAGAGAAAAACAACATCCTCACATCAGAGCTCAGCAACCGCTGCTTCCGGATACGGCTTGAGTCAGCTTAATAGTTACAGTCTATGGTCAGCTGACGATGAATCATCCAATCAGAAGTCGTTCACTGTTGTAAATACTCAGCCCGTTCATGTGCGTGTCTGTCCAAAAGTCAGCAGCGCCGACAGAGCAAAGAAAGCCGTGAGAAGAGATGACGGTCGAGACCAGAGTCAGCGGTAAGTCCGTGATTTATCGAACTGTTAACACGTCGATAATAGTCAGTTTCTGATAATAATAAATATGTAGTTTGACATATTTATGAATGACTGAACCAACGACCTAAAAACAAAGCAGTGGACATTTGTGCAGGTGATATTTTCACTGGAGGGAAGAATAGTTGCTCAATGCTTTACCTTCAGAAAAAGTAACTTCTTGATGATTTCCATATAATATTTCTATATCAACACGTGGAACATTAATGTGACCAAATGATTGCTTTCACTGTGCATTGATTGACAGATAATTTAATTAGGCTATATTTCATCAACAAAAACAACAATAATTTAATTAACTTTGAGTCTGAAACGTTATATATATATATATATATATATATATATATATATATATATTTTATATAACGCATTGACTGAGATAACTAGTGTTGGTCATACCAAGTCTAAAAACATTTAGCCTAAAGAAAATTTAGGACTATGTAAGTTTTTAAAAAATCGTATGAAAACATTAAAATCGGTGTATTTTACTTTACTTTACTGATCAAGATTTTTGTTTGTTTGTTAATTTCCTCTTTTTATGATGTGAGAGGATTTACAGCATGACCTTTAAAAATACTCTTCTTTATGCTATGTCTGTCTGATATGGGTTATCCGGCCATCCATCTATCCATTCACCCCCCCCCCCCCCCACCCCGCAAAAGAAAAGAAAGCTCAATTCGTACAACGATTTCTTAACCTCCATTTAAAGGTGAGCTCCACTCAAGAGGATAATTTAAACATGCCTCAATTACATTATTTTGCAGTGCAAAGTTAAAATATCCAACTAATAAGCCAATCCCATTTTTGAGAGCAGGAGGGCTTTAATATCAATTTGGTGTTCTTCTATATTCTGTTTGTTGTGTTCTTTCCCTTAACCCTCTACAAAGTCAGAGACACAGTCGATGTAGGTCAGATTTGTATCCCCAAGTATTCAACTGAAAAAGTGCTCACTATGAAAAGCAACGGATTGCAATAGGATTATACATAATCCTGCAGCTGTAAATTTTGCTCTGGGCTTCACAGCACTGTGATGATTATTTTACTGTGGGAATCAAAGGTGCAGGAACTTTAGACTGTTTCATTAGGCTACTTCACATCTTGTGATAAATGCCACTTTGAAAATCTCAGGCAGAGTTTTATTTGTTTGTTATCAAATGTTACAAAGTGTGTGTGTCTGTGTAAGCCTTATAAGTGAGACATTTGAGTAATTGTCATACACTTTGGGATATTTTAAACTTGATCTTCATGCGTATGATGATAAAAAATGTTTTTAATCCTGTTTTTATTTTCGCAAACCAGCTAGGGCCAGGCTAGCGGTCTTTAAAATTACACAAACAATGACTCATCTTCTGATGTCATCATCCATTTAAATATTGCTGTAACTATATCTATATCTAACTATATCTAACTATATATGTATGTATCAGACACCTAAAGCTCATAACACAACATCTGTCTTTGTCTTTGGTTCAAATATGTTCTTTACTGTTCAAAAGCAAGGACTTTTTCAACACATGAATTCATTCTTGTTTTATAAAACTGAAAATGTCTCACTACCCAAGTCTATTTTTTTGTTGTATTTACAGACCCAAGGGGAGCTGCCAAAACAAGCAGCAGACAGGTAAGAACAACCTTACTCATGATTAGATAGTACAAGGTAGACTATCCCCACACACACACACACACACACACTTTTAACTGATATATATATAAAAACAATATATTTTATTGTCATATCTATTTACATTAAAAAATGCCTCCTGGTGACCTGCAATCAGACCTAAGATCATTGGATCCTTTTTATAAATCACTCTGATTATTTTCAGTACCTCTGGAGAATTTGAAATCACTTTATCAAAAGCCCAAACAATCTTTCTTAAACACAGACTATTTGACACATGATGTGAAAAACTGCATGGATCAAACCTCTAACTTTAAAAGTGATTCCCTTTAACCTCAGAGAACCTGTTATATAAACCTGCTGTGATTGAACTTGTCTCACCCACACCCTGACTTCTTTGTTTTGACATTGGCTGTCAGTGACAAGTGTACTGATTGCCGTATTGTTCTCTGGGACAAGCCTGACCTGACAGGTTACATTTTTTTTATCCTAACACAGATGTACAGTATAGAGCCCTGCAGGGAACAAAAGAGGGATGGCAATTATGGATTATGCAAGTGAGCATCAGGCATGAAGAGGAGGATTTTGATGAGGTAGACTGAGGTTACATTTTAGCATTTTCTCTGTTTTAAGAGACAAGCGTATCAATAAGTGACATAAGTACATGAGTAAAAATTCTCATCAGTTTGGATATACAAGTATGCGTTGGTGTATTTTCCTGTGAGCTCTGATAGTTTGATGGTGTGAAAATGTTTTTTTTTTCTTTTAAATGAACAACTGAGTTCTGAGAGCAGCGTGACATTTGTCCCACATTGTTCCCTCTGTTGCCATGGCGTTGCAGAGGGTCAGCCTGGGTAAAATCTGGCATTTTTAGAAGGTTTGGTGAATGTGACATCAATCCCTGGATTTAATTCCCGCTGAGTGAACTGATTCAGTTTTTTCTCAGTGTGGCTGCCTCACATTTAGCCTTTCCCTAAATGCAGTGGACTTCACAGACTTTGGTATCCGTATGTTTTAGTGTTATTAGATATTAGAAATATATACATCTGGATCATCTAAGTGATTCTAATTCAGCTCTCTAAGTCAGTCTAGAAACATACATTTTCTTGATGACACATTTTATATCACAAAGGTGTATGATTAGATTTGAATCTGACTGTATCAGCCCTGTATGAACAACAAACAGGAACACTGCAATAAAACAACATATTACACTAAAGCTTAATATCCAAGCGAGATTTGAATAGGGTTATCATTATAGATCAAATTATATTGATTCAGTAATTATAGAAGAATACTAACTTTGGAACAAGACAAAACTAGTTAAAAATAAAGTGATTTAATGTAAAATGTCATTCACCTCCTCGCTCTAACAGAATTCAATCCGCCTGGTTTCGGGTCTGGTCAATCACAGTCATTTTTCTGATATGGGATGGGTCAAGGTGACAAGTTAATCCAATATCCTTTGATTATTGAACAAGCTGTATGGTAGTTGATGTTTCTTATATAGTGAGTAAACCACCAAATCCTGTCATCCTGTCAAAAACAAGGGCCGCAAGTAACAATTATTTATGTTACCGATAAACATGCTGATTATTTCCAGGATCCATTGATAAAATGTTGGACATTTGGGACACAGCAAATACTCAGCAAATCATCATATAATAAGCTCTAACAAGCCAATGTTTGACATGGACATGCTGATCTTCTGTTTACTATGTTGGACATTTCCATATTAGCCAAATTCACATTCACAAATTAGGCCAGGCATCCAGCCTGCAAACAACCATACAACTCATTTTTGGTCTTTAAATCCATTTTTAAGAATTCTTATGAAGAATTTGAACACTGAAACACATTCCAGCCTAATATTTTTTTCATTGTGGATATTGCCTAAGAAACACAGGAACAGATTGAGAGGCTTTTCTGTTTTTCTCCTGCTGCCTCATGTACTCTACTCTTCAGTCTCTCTCTCCACTTCACGCTTGATCATATCAATGCAGTCCCATTGTGCTGGATGCCTCTGATCAACACAGGAGCCATTCAGAACTAAATAGATGTAAAAAGCCAGAGGTCTGTCATCCTCTTGAAAAGACGCTCACAGTCTCTCTGTTGTTTCAGGGATATTTCTACACCATGAGATGTTTCTGTGGGAAATGCTTATTTAGCAAAATATCATGAGATTGCACAGCATCCTCACAGAAACAGAGACCTTCATGCACAGTTGTTGTTTTTTTTTTTCCACACAGGAGGGCCCTGGAGGGATTTGGGACTCTGTGAAGAAAACTGTGGTTGTCATAGGATCTGGAATCTTATTCTTGGCCGCTTTCAGCAACTCACTGACATGGTAGGTTTTTCTTAGAAGATACAGTTGAACAGTGCAACAAAGCAAATGCCCATCATAAAAAGAACCTTAGAGGACACAAGGGATAGGATAGTATCAACGGTTATTTCAACAATACACAGTAACAACAGACTGGTGAAGCAGGGTTATGAACAGATGGTCTGATCAGGGTTAAATTCTAGTCTATTCAGATCATGAAGGCTCTTGTTTTACAGCCACATGTGTGTGAGTCAAGGTGTCGTAAACCCAACACCCACTATTATTTCTTCTCAGGTCTCACATCATTGTAATTGCTGCTGGAAAAAAACAACAAAGAATCATGAATAAGTAGCCTGAAATAATATGCTATTGAATGAAAATTACTTTTTGGAATCTGAGTCTCAGATATGTGAAAACAAACGTCATAATACAAAAAACATAAAACAAGCATTCCTAGTGATAGGCCCATTATGTAGCTGCTTTAGGATGGCTTTCTATCTGTGTAAACGGGTTGAACACATTCTCTATTAGCTCAAATTTTCCTTTTGGGTCAGGCTTGAACTGGTGTGCTTTACTTAAGTCAGTCAATGCTGACCCCAAATTTAAAGCATATAGGATCAAACAATAATCTAACAGCACATGAGGTAACAAGACTTTGTAGAAGTGGGTTTGACATTATATAAAATTTCATGCTATGACACAGAATAGGCATATGACATGTTGAGGTATTTATCCAGGGTGTCATTAAGTCATTCACAGGGGATTTTGTTTTGTTTTGGGCGATCTGTTGGTCGGGATGTAGTTGGCTATTTGCTGAGTGTTCAGTTTGATGGTTGGGGTAAGAAGAGGGTCTTGCTAGATAGTGACTTCATTGTTTTTTAGGAAGTTAGTTTGGCATTATTAGGTTTAGTAATAGGTTTAATGATTCTTTAAGAATTTCTATTAAGGGGCCTTAGTTCACCTGGCCCATGCACAGAGGCTGTAGTTCTCTGATTGGGTGGCTCGGGGTTCGAATCAGACCTGTTGCTCCTTTCCCGCATGGCATTCCCCACTTTCTTTTCCCCCAATTTCAGACTCTATCCACAGTCCTGTCTCTCCAATAAAGCACAAAAGCCGAAAAAAAATGTTTTTTTGAACTCTGATGCAAAAGTGGATAATTGTTTGATTTGTTACAACAGAGGACATAATGAATAATACACATGATGATAACAATCTGCTGTTACTGTGTAAGAATATGTTTCTGTGAGATTGACACTAGTCAATAATTTTTTCCTCCAGGCATCTTCAGAGATTTTGGGGCGCGTCTGGAGATTTCTGGCAGAACTTGTGGACGAAGCTGTTTGTGATGTTTGAGGGTCACGACGCTACTCTGTTCTATTTGGGTAAGAAATAAAAACTGGTTTGTTTTGTGTCATGAATGGTCAAATGTTTTTTGCTGTTTTGGACATGTGAAAGTTTATCGTAATATGAGATAATCAGAGTAGTTTGTTATCTGCTGCCAGTCCAAAATCACATGATAAGACAGAATAACAAGATGGTGCAAGTAACAGTTTGGGCTTTTTTCCAAAGTAATTATATTTTTATGTATCAATGAAAATTGAAGTCATACAGCAAGTCGAACAAAGTGCAATATAAATCTGTTATCATGTTTCATATCTGTTGTAGTGTCATTAACCTCAGATTGCACAAAACTAAAATCTGATCAGGTCTAATAGTCAGCAGTTAAATAAACTAAAGGCCAGTAACCCCTTAAAAGTCCTGTCAACTTTTTTGAATCAGTGATTAAGTCATTTAGAGCTCACTCTAGTTTTACTTTTTGGTAAAAGTCAAGTTTGAGACAAAGTGATCAAATCTCTGACAGTAGTCGTGTTTATCTTCCACAGGGACCATGTTGCTCCCCACTCTGGCATTCTGGGGGTCCAACGGTCTGCTGCTGCTGGTGGACACCACCGGTAAACCCTCCTTCATCGCTCGATACCGCATCCAGGTGGACAAGAACAGCCCGGTATGTGATTTGGCCAAGCTTTTGTTATTTTTTTCTTAACCCAAAGTTAGTATCAGCAAATATTTTTGCATAAAGAAGGAGTGGAAAACTTAAGACCCAAAAAAATATATATATGTATAAATAGTCCAGGTCCAGGCACTCGGGGCAGACCCTGAAGAAGGCGCGAACCGATACTGTGGTGTATTTTAATGTTTGTAGCCCAATTTATTGATTTCTTTATATAGATTATTCATTCATCCTATTCCTTCTATTCTTCCCACATTATTTGCTCATTTTGAATAGTTTTCTGTCCTATTTGTTTTTATTTATTTGTATATTCTTTCATCTATTCCTTTAAATCAGCAACAAACCTTTAGTCCTTAACCGTCTGTAAAAAAGATTTTCATGTCGACATCAGTCTGCCCTAATAAACCAAAGCACTGCTGTTCTTCAAATCTCTTTGTAACTAATGACATAAGCCCAGTTTAGAGCGGAGGAACTTTCCCCCAGAACTGTGGTCTTTTTAAAGAACTACGTGCGTTTTGAGCCAATCTACTCGGTTAGCTCTGGGGTGGACAATCTACCCCTGATAAGCGAGGTCATGCACCTTTCAACGGTCTAGGGACTTTTTTTGGGGGGGGGGGGGGGGGCTGCAGTGTCTGCAGGGCTGAACGTGTTACTGATGTATGATTGTGAATACAGGCTCACACATGCATGATGTTGCTCAGAGAGGCTGATCTGACATGTCCACCTGTCCGTCTAACCAAAGTCCTCTACCTGTGTCTGATAAACTCGTGTTGATGGACGGCAGAGAGATAAATGCTGACATTACTGATAACTTAGAAGGTCCCTCTATATGTGCAATCATGTTATTGATGATCCTTTTGAAGTTATTTAAAAGAGGACACAGTGCACAGGAAGTTCATGCTCATGGATGGAATCAAAATATCTCAGGTCAGCGTTAGATTGCTAGATTTCAGTAATGCACATATCCTGGATCATCCTGAAACCATGACCTTTACTGGGTTTATCACATTTAAGCAGTGAAATAACATTGTCCTTGTGTTATGCCCATGATCTTCTATCAGACACAATAAATCTTTATACCACCAATGATGATCTAATCTGCTGCTTGTCCGGTTGGTCTGTCACTTTGAGGCGAGATAGCCAGGCCCTGTGACCAAGAATAATTGTGTGTGCTCTTGGTCATAAACAAATGAAAGGGTGTGACGCTGCTGTCGAGCAACGAGACAATGAAGGAAACACTGGCCTTAGACTTAACAAACAGTCTCTCTTCTATGTGACTGATTTGAGAAACGTGTCAAAACCCTTCACCATTCTTCAAACAGCGTTTTATTTTCAAGAATTAAAAGACATTTTCAGAAAATGAAACCAACAATATATAGAGGCTTTCTGCCCTTATTATGGGAGTTATCCAAAGCACAAAAAATTAAATATAATTCTTAAAAAAATATATATTTGAAATGTCACGACATGTTGTGCTGTTCATAGGCACAGTCCATGTGGAAAATGATGTCTCTCTAATATAAGTTTAATAATTTTTTGATTATTCCTTCTTTAATGTTCATTTTATGGTCGAGAAAACTCTTTGCTACGTAAGCTAAATAAACGGTTGAAAACTCTTTGTGGATAAACTTTGTTATAGTTCATCACAAAGCTGCACATTAACAAACTGTAATATTAATCACATACAGTAGTTAAACACTGAGGGCCACCATTTTCTTCACACTAAGTACTTAAACTATTGATGGTCTGGACTTCACTCATAGCATGTTCAGAGTGTACTGATACTTTAAGTGAAGTCAGTTATTTCATCATTTAGTCTTTTTATTCATAAAAGTGTGAATAGAAGTGTTCTGTGAATGAAGCAAAGTTGACTAAAGGCAAATAACTTAAATGTGTAAAGACACCTGGACAATAAAGCCGAGTCTGCATCCTTCTTTTTAATGACATGTGATTTTAAAAATATATAAGTGTGTATATATATATATATATAAGTGTAAATCAGGTTCAGATGTCATAAACCAGGAGTAGAACGCCACAATGTCTGGACCATTCCTGGGAAGTCTATATCTCGGCTCCACCTGGAGGAACTCTGTTCAAATGACTGTATGACTTTGATACATTCAATAAAGACTCCTGCCCATCTCCATCCTTATCACTCAGGTGGATCCAGCTAAGCTGAGCCATGCGGTGAGGAATGTCATCTTCAACCAGGTGTTCATCTCGATGCCCATGGTGGTAGCAGTTTACTACCTGATGAGCCTGAGAGGAAACCCCTGTGGTCCTGAGCTGCCCACCTTTCACTGGGCCCTGATGGAGCTGGCCATGTTCTCCATCTTGGAGGAAATTATGTTTTATTATTCACACAGGTAAAATTAAATAACTCTGCTTTTTCTTTTTTTAATGTCTCACGAGAAAGAATTCTGTTCAGTCAGTCCTAGGCATCAATCTACACATTATACTGCCATCTAGTGGAGAGAGTAGGGATGTATGGAAATGCTACACATTCAACAGTTTATTCATCAATTATAAAGACCCTCAGCTGCACTTTGCGAAAGGGCTAATCAGCAAATGTTGTTTTTATAAGATCCAAAGTACCATATCAAAAGGATAAATATTTGTACCTGCTAAAATGTTTGAATTGTAGTCAGCATTCCAAAGTTATTTTGAAACTCAATGTTTGAATGCTAAGTAAAAGAGAATACCTGACTGTGTGTCGATGATTAGGTTGCATGCACACATTATCATGCTATTAATCGTTAACATGTTAAGATGCTAAAATAAAATAAATGAACTTGATAAGTCTCAGCATTTTAGCTTGCTAATGCTAGCATTAAGGTAGATGCACCTATGTGCCTAAATTCAGCCTGGCAGACTTTCAGTGTTTTTACATTAATTGATTAAAACAGATCAATGAATGACTGGATAGTGACTGTTTTCTTTTTACCCTTTTCGTCTTTGCTCTCAGGCTGTTCCACAGTCCCAGCCTCTATAAGCATTTCCACAAACAGCACCACGAGTGGACCGCTCCCATCGGAATCGTCTCCATCTATGCTCATCCTCTGGAGCATGTGGTGAGTAACCTCTTACACTTCCTTACATTTAGTGTTCAGCTGAATTTGAACCTTGTTGTCTTATTCTCAGAGTCCATTTGTGAATACATTAAAGAATTCATGAAGCCATGAGGGCATTTGCTGGGACAATTGACTGAAGCAACTCAAATCTTTCACAAGAATAGACCATAAAGACCCCAAACAATGTAAAAAGAATGAAAGTGCAAACTTTGAATAATACCAGGATTACTCTTCTAATCTTCTCTGTTTCTTACTGTCATCCCTCAACATGTTTTCCTTTGTCCATGAGAGCCTGTTTTAATTCTCCTCTTTGCTGTCAGATCTCCAACATGCTTCCAGTGGTGTTGGGTCCAGTGATCCTGGGCTCCCACCTCTCCACCACCTCCATGTGGTACTGTCTGGCTTTTATCAGCACCACCATCTCCCACTGTGGATACCACCTCCCCTTCCTGCCCTCGCCCGAGTTCCATGACTTCCACCACCTAAAGTGAGTGTATCTCTGTCCACTCGACCAAAATGTGTTTTTAATTTGATTTAATGGAGTTCTTATTCAACTTGTGAACTTGTCTTTTATTATTAAAACCCCAGGATTGTGTCAGTTAGTTTATTTAAACCTGTTTTTGTTAGTGTGTGAATTCAGTACATTTTCTCCTCTTTTTCTTGTTCACGGTAAAATAACTATGATGCTTTTGATGTCTTGTGTGAAGAACTTTGAACAGCCTTGATCCTGTATGTGCTGTACAAATGAACTGGCCTTGCCTACAGTGATAAATCATTTCCTGTATATATGAAACATATTCAATATTGAATATTTAGTTGCAACACAATTCTGATTAATATGAGTTTGAGCTCATCATCAGGAAAACATATTCTACAAAAGGGAAATTATAAGGCTGGACAGATATCGCAAAAGACCAAAAACAACATTTCATTTATCTCTGGCTTTCCGCCTTTTATTAAAATGTAAATAATTTAAAAGTCATATGTATATCATTTCATTTGAACTAAAGTTTTTTTTTTTAAATAATTTCTCAACACAGTTGTCTGTAGTCATTGGCAAATGTTACTCACATAGAAAATAATTAATGTGCTGGAAGACTTTTTTCAGCTGCAGATTAATACAAATGTGTATTTAGAAAATAATAGAGAAAAGACATTTCACAGAGAATACTTGACAATACTAGGATTGTTGTTGGTCTTTTAATTTAATTGACAATAAAAATATTCTAATAAATGAATGGGATTCTACTGAGGAGTAAGAGAACATTTAGTCTTGATTACTTTAAGGGACCATGTGACCTCTGTTCATTCTAAATGATATAATTAATCATTGTGATTTAAAATTCCAGTTTGTCAATAATTGTAACCATTATGCCGTCCTGGTTTCAGGTTTAATCAGTGTTTCGGGGTCTTTGGCGTGTTGGATCGGCTTCATGGCACCGACACCAAATTCAGGCAGACCAAGCAGTATGAACGCCACACCCTCCTCACCAGCCTCACCCCTCTGAACGAGAGCGTCCCTGACACACCCAAGAAGGGCCAATGAGAACCTTTGACAACAGGCCCACACCTCCTCCCGTCTGGGATCAGTTTGTGTTCAATCATCAATGGCTCTTAATATTTTAATCCAGACTGAGAGTTTCAGACTGAGAGTGTCTGAAAGAGTTTGAATATTTTAGATCCACATCTTGTTTTTGCACTTTATCAAACATTCAGATTTCATGGGAGTTGTTTTGCTGTTGGTTTGTTTGGCCTTCATGTTCACAGAGTGTCTGCCACTGAGGTTCTTTTTAACCAAGTTTCCTCCCATCATTTCATGGATGGTCAGATACACAATCGTTGAAGTGGTAGTAGTTGAAGGTTATTCTCCAGTAACACTTAATGATGTGGCCTTAGTTAGTGTGGCGTTTATGGAAGCTACATTTAATACAAAATTGACCATCACATATTTACTCCGGATATATTAAGTAATAAGTCTGTGGATGGTTATTCTAAATATTTACAAGGTGTTGGTATTAAAAGGGATTTTATTTTTTAGATCATTTTATGTCTTTGATTACAAGAATTCTAATTTTAGATTTTAGGCAAATCAAATTTCAGGAAAGACACAAGGACTCCGTTTGTAGTAACAATTGGTGAATGATGAAGGTAAAAAGAATGGGGGGGGCATTTGTAGCATCTGAAATGTAGGGAGATTTGTGCGAGAGAAGGTATTAATGCTTTACAGCTTCTGACAATTCTGAACAGCAGCGCCACATCTGATTTATTCAGATATATGTTCTTATGGTAAATTCATATTTATGATGCAGATGTTGATGTTGATCATCTACGAGATCCGACAGATGTGTAATTTGATAACCACTAAATCACATGTTCTCACTTTTCTTACTCTAAGCTTTAATGTAGGTGGAGTCTTTTTGTTGTCATAATTTTTACACATTCTGTATTTTACATCGTGTAGTAACAGCACTTCAAAAGCTCAACAGTACAGACTCTTCTGATGCGTTCACTCTCTGCTCATGCAGAAGAGACTCTTGCACTTATGAGTGAATGTATGAGAATATATATTAGAGGAGGCCTCTGAGAGTGTTGTAAAATAAGACATGAATGTTGAGAAAGAATTGTCCTACTGTGATTGATGTAATGCTCGGACTGGACTGTTTAATAATAAAAACATTTGAAGAATAAACGTGCATAGTTTAATATTTTTTATGTCTGCACACAAATAAGAAGAGACCTTTTTATGTCTCTTACTGCCACATGTATACTACTTCATTATCCTTTAACTGAATACATTAGTACTTGAGTTAAATCTCTTACATACACAACAGAAATAATCATCACACACCGTTGTTTGAGGTTTTTTTGTCCGTTTTGTGGTTTTTTTCTTTATTAAGGAAAAGCATAATTACTACAAATTACAAATAACACTAATAGCGAATCACATCAGCCTACAAAGCAGATATTATGAATATTAAATGTTATAATACAAGATCTCATTCAAGTATTTTACATTTTTCCATTTTATATATTTTTTTGTTCCTTTTTTCCTCATTTTCATCTTTTTTTCCTCATGACAAGCCTAGGATATTGTAATGCAATGAACTATTGTAATGGTTCATATACAGTTATATCTTATTCATATGGCTTTATGGAATTTTGTCCTTTTTTTTTTCAGTCTCCAGACATCATAACCAGCCATATTCCTCTACACAACATCACAAATCCCAGCAGGGCTCTTTCTCCGTTTCTCTTCCTCTTGACTTTTTATGCTCCTCCCTCCATTTCCTCGTCCATCACTCATCACTCTTCACTCTGGTGTCCGGCCTGCTGCCCAAGTCTGTGTTAAACTGACAAACGGAGACGACGCCCCCCAGAGTTTGTTTGGACAGCTAGCAGCAATTCTTCGCTGATAGAGAAGGCTGAAAACTCCCACAACACCTGAACACCCCCATACGTCCAGTGACAGGTTGTGATCACATTAGAGGGAGGGATCATGTGACTGTCACAGGAAGACGACCCCCAAGAGGCAGCCTGCCATATCTGCAGCCACACACACACACACACACGCGCACGCACACACACACAACAGCTCACCCATTCGAAGGCTTCGCTGGTTTTTGGGAAATGAACAAGTTTTTCTTTTCTGGATATTTTGTAGCTCTTATTTGTCCATCTTTAATCCTCCAGTAAACACGTTTGATGCATCATCAGTTAGCCTCTGTTAATGATCCAAATCTCCCTGAAGATAAAACCAACAGAACATAACAGAAAAGAAGTACAGCTTTGCATTTTCATGTTTCCAACTATTCTGGATTTAGAGAAAAACTGAAAAACACTGACAGGACACTCTGCTGGAACATCAACCAACAGGCTGAACTTTTTTTACAGAAAAATGGGGAGGGGGGGGGGGGGAGAAAGAGAAACAGTTTCACCTCAAAAAACTGTCAGGCTTCATGTCATGTGACTGTGCTATTTCACAGTAAAACTCATCACTCAGAGGCAACAAACATCCTTGTATGACAACAGAAAGTAGTGGATGTGTATTAAGACTTTTGTTTCAGAATATTGTGAACTTTAGTTCAATTTAAACCCCAAATCGTAATTTCTATGCATTCTTACATTTGCAGTTGTAGTGTCAACAGAAAACCTTGACGATTTAGATGAAACTAAAATTTCAGTCGATGTCAAGAGTTGGTTGGAAATGCTGCTCTCATCTTGGAAAAAAAAAAAAACATTCTTTGAAAACAGAAAAAGGAGAAATTGAGCTGTGATTTCAAAGTGAAACACAGATTAGTATTTTGACGCCCTGATGTCGACTTTCCCTTTTGTGTTGTGAATCGTGTCCCCTGTTTCTGAAATCCACAGAGGGTTTTTCAAACAGCCTGACACAAACCTGACCTCCATTGTAACAACAACAACAATGCTAGAAACACTGCAAATTGAAATTAAAAGCATTTAAAGATAATCATGAGATCATGAAAAAAAAAGTTAGAGTACATACACATGTAAGGCAAATATATAATCTGGTCTATAAACAAAAACAAGTAGCAGGGAGCTGTAATCATGTCTCTTCATCTGTCAAATTCACATTAACATCAGTGGAGGAAAAGGAATCACTTCTGTCTGATATCACCAGAATGATCAAGATTGAAATCATCCGCATGGTTGACAGAAGGACATCTGAACGGGAAAGAGTGGAAACAAACAATCCAGCCAAGAGGCATGAAATGTATTTGTGTTTTGTGTTGAGCTTGCTCATGCTGCTACATCCGTACCTGCGTGCCACTACAGCTGTCAGTGTCCGTGCCTGTTACTGATGTGTGTGAATAAGGAAGAGGTGGCAAGGTCAGCCTGGGCCTCAAACACATCTTCAGTTTAACGGTGAAGTCGAAGGCCAAATGTCTGGTCCTCGCCGGCGTCTCCACCCAGAGCACCCACAATTGAGAACGACGCTTCTTCAAGTAATCCAGATTGATGATTCCAGTACTGATCTCCACTGTCGTCAACTGATGGATGGATGTGGAACGGATGGATGAACGGATGGATGCACGGATGGATGCAGCTTTCAGACAGGAGGGAGGCGCAGAGGGGAGAGAGAAAGTCAGGAAGCCCAAAGGGGAGATCATCGGGGGGGGGGGGATTCTCCCTTCCTAAATGAACCCCACTTAAGCTTCGTCTTTTTTTTCCAGGGGGGAAAAGATGACAAACTTCATCAAAAAGTTATGTGTTTCAGCACAAAAAGCCACAACTTGCAAAAAACAGGGAAGAATTACAGGACTTGTAACAGACTGATGACACTTGGAAGACAGTTCAGAAAATGTGACGGAGGGAGTGAGGGGAATTGGAGGGGGGGGGCAGTTTGGCAGACAGATCACCACTTAGAGGCCCCCGGTGGGCATGGAGAGCAGATATATGGGTGATCTCAATGCTGTACACTGGACAAGGTGGCGGCACAAGTTAGAAGCAGTAAAACCATTAAAATAAGGCAACTTTCAATCAGCGTGTCCGTACTGAGGGGTGTGTACGAGTCTTTTTTTTTTTCTATATGTTTTTTCATTTGGCTCTTTATTGTTCTCCCCCTCAAAGTCCAGTAAATCAAATATTTTCAATTTTCAGCCCCATAACTGAGAGCGTTGCGGGCTCTGAGGATGGAAATGCCAGTCGCTCGGTTCAAACCGCTTTGGTCCGGTTGGATGTCAGGAGCAGCTCGACCTCCAGGGCAGACTTTAAGAAGCTCAGTGTCCTTCAAACTATTTTCAGGCCTTTAAACGCACCACATGCTGAAAAAATGATAATCATTAAACTGAGATCTGGGCGAGGAGGCGGAAATCTTTCAGCCAGCAGGACACTGAAGATCAAACAGGGGGCCAAAGTGATAGAGAGGGGGGTCGACATGAAAATTTAAAAATAAAAAAATAAAAAAGGAGAGGAAATCATTACTCAATGGTCCACTGTGTGAACTGAGATGATTTGTAAAAGAAAAAAAAGTGTTTGACACCTCCTCCGTTCTTTGCCTCAAAGACAAAAAGGTCATTTTTTCTCAAAAAGAAAAAAAGAATTAAACTTATTGAAAACCTTAATTATTTGTCTTCATCTAAATCAAAATTGTGGGGAAAATGTATTTTTCATGCTTTGATGACGAGCGGGACGCCCCCTCCCCCTCCTGCTGCAGAGAGAGCCAGCGACTTGCAGATGATGTTGAGTCAATCCGTGTTGGTCTGCATGTTTGTTGAGTTACTTTAGTGTCTTGGCATCTGGTGCGGGGTCAGCAGCTGGGGCGAGGGTTTTCTGGCTGGTGGGTTTGGCATCATCCTTGGCTGCGAGGGGGGCAGGGCTGGGGCCGGAGCTGGCCTGGCTGTGGGGCCGGCTGGAGTTCTGAGAGGGATGCCGGCGGCGACCGTCCCCGCTGGATGAGTGTCTCCTGCGACCTCCTTCCTCCATTGGGGGCTGGAAGCACAAAACACACAAAAACGGAGGAGATGAGATGATTTCAAAGCACAATAGTTTTCCAAACTATTAAAGACAGCTTGGAATACATTCGGTGGAGTGAAAAACTCATTGACCAACTTCAGTGACTCACATCAATTCTGAAATCTTCCAGACGTTTAAACTTGCTCAGGTACTCCTGCAGTTTGGGGTCGATCTCCAGAGTCTTGGCTTTGGAGTATTTGAGGTAGGCCCAGAACTTCTCTAGTCCATAAAGTTGACCTGAGTAGAGAGAGAGGGGTTACATGTAGAAAGTGGTGAGGATGAAGGTGCTTCCTCTCAGCTCAGATAAGTATCTGTGGGGTCTTCTGTTTTCTCACCAGCCTCGTAGTCTTTCATGGTCTCCTCCTGGAAGTCCTTAAAGATGTCTGGCCTGAACTTCCTCTCTAGACCGTAGCTGTAGTACCTGAACAGGCACTCCAGACCGTACCTGCAACAAAAACATGTTGACAAATCAGAGAATAAAGCTCTGAGGAACATAGTACACGTTGTAACACCCCAGTTAATATATTCTAACAATAATTAGGCCTAAAACTAGGTATGTTCCCATCGATTGGCCATAGATTTTTATCCTCTGATAATCATAACTAAATGATCTGATCAAACACTCTGCCATCTCTTACCTGTATCCTTCTTTCCCGTCCTCGACCACGAGCTGTCTGAACTCTTCGTACATCTTTCTGTTAAAGTGATCTCGCAGGAAAAACGACCAGAAGCGGAAGAGTGTGTTCATCTCCTGTGATTGGCCGATTCCCAGCCGCTTCCTCTCTGTGATTGGTTAAAAAGGACAACAGGGTTATCTAAAAAAAACTGTTTGATACTGCAGTCTCAGATCAGCAAAGCAATACGGTCAACAGACACAAGTCATGAAAAGGATGATTTTTAAAAACATGGTGTGTGTACCGTTTAGGCAGCGTCGGCGGTACTTGTGGTAAACATGTTGCGTGAAGCCGTTCTCCTTGAGCAGCTCGTGTGACGGGTGCTGGAACTTAGGGAGGGACTGAGGCGTGCATCCGATGTTTCCAAGGACAGGAGTGCCCTCTGAAGGGCTGGCGTTTGAGCTGAGAGGGAACAGAGAGAAATCAACATTAAATATTAGAAAGTCAAAATGACGCTTTATAGTCCACAAAAGCATATTCAATGTTTTTCTGTTTGTAGAACTAACAGATACATTCACACAGAAATATATATTTTTTTAATAGATAAAAGAAATTAGCTGTTACAATATTTGATTTAGAAAACTTGTGATGCTGTCCAACAAAAAGCAGTGTTGTCCTCCTCTGAAGGAGGCGAGCAGAGCAGCGAGTCTCACCTGACAGAGGCCGTGCGGGATCGATGCTCTCTGGAGTCCATCACCCAGCCAACGTGACACTCCATGGGGGGATTGGAGCTGTGTCTGGTCTTCCTCTTTCTGGGCGTCTGATAGGTAACAAAGAAAATTAGTTTGATACGTCATGTCAAGTTTTTTGTGTTTTTTTAAATGATTCCGTTCTTAAAAGAAGTATCACAAAAAGAGACATTTCCTACAAAATGTGCTTCAGGCCTCACAGCAGACAATCTTACCTTGGCATCTACAGGCCGGCTTTCCTTCACCACCGGGTAGAAGCGCGGCGTCATGGTGGAGTCCTTTCGGTGAGGTGTGCGAGGCGTGCGGGGCGTCCGGGCACTGCGGTAGTTGGGTGAGTCAGGCACGGTAGTTGGGAGCGAGCGTGCTATCGATGACGGCTCGGGGGCACCGAAGAGTTTGTTCGCCAGAGCGTCTGTGGGGACTGAAGAGGAGAGAGGATTTATTAGCTGAGAAGAAGAAAAATGTCTTTGACTCCTCAAACCCAGAGACTTAAAAAAAAGGCACGCTTCACTTTTGATCCTGAAATAAAAACGCTGTCAGTGCTCTAACAGCATCATATATTTCTAAGTGTGCAAACAGAGGCAGGAAGTCTCTCAGCTGATGATGATTAAAGTGAGCAGTTAAAACATTACCATTTCAACAGAACAGCTGAAGCAGCGTGCTGCTCGTCAGTATAATCAACATCTTCAATCTACTTTTTAAAGATGCATCTGATGTCAGCTGTAATTTAAAAATTAACAAGATTGCTAAAAGAGAGAGTGTGTCATGATATAGAACTAACACTCAGTGATTGATTTTTATTTCAAACTTCTTGTTTTGACAACCAATGTTGAAAAAAAAAATGGCACGTCGTCTAATACTTGTTCGAAGGGTTATCAGAAAACCCCTCTTCATTGTGAGTGTATACTTCGACTACAATAGTTCTTGTTTTATGAACTCGTAACATTTCTGAGAATTCTGTCTTCCTTTTTTTTTTTTTTTTTTTTTTAAATCAGATAGCTGATAAAAAAAGGTCTGTTATATAAAAACTTCACAAGTCTGCTCTTAGTGTTTTTGTATCCTTACTTTGTTGGGGTCGAGGGGGGCCTGGGGGGACTTCCTGGTTAGGGTCCACAGGGGGTTCAGGGGTGAGGCAGTCAAACTCTTCACGGCTGATCAGGTGGACCTTCTTGAAGTTCTCCACCTCTTGCTGTAAACAGGAGAAACACGGGTGTTAACATGAGGACAGAGATGGGAGAATTTCAAAAAGGGGAGCCGCAAGACTTGTTGACGACACAAGTTACCTGTAAACATGTCAAAACAGCGCACTTACTGAAAAGCAAGAATTTCCGACATGAGACACGTCGCGTAATAAAAAAATGTACACTCCTCTCCTGAATGAATACATTGGCAGTAAAAAGTCAATAAAAATCGCCTGGAATATAAACAACAGACCTTATCTGCAGTAATCTGGAGATTGAGATGCAGCAGCAAAACATGGCTGCCAGAAACACTTTTTTCACCTCATGTTGACGTCTCCTTTACTGTTGTGACAGCGACACAGCAACCAGCTGGCTTACATCAACACACAAACCCTGAATTTTCTACCAGTGACCACCTTCTGATAACAAAACAGCTCCTGCTCCTCCTAAAACAGCAGCTACTCAATTGGAAATTTAGCTCCAAACACAAAATAAGTGCAGTGTAAAATGCTCAAAATGGTTTCCTATAGACCCTGTTTAGTGACTCACACTCTTCCCCTCACTCCTCCAAGTCTCCTCAGATCTGTGAGCGTCCATCTTTGTCTCCCCCTGCAGCCCGTCACTTCAACCCCTCAGGTCGGGGCTGTGTGTGTGAGGTTTATTTATAAAAAAAAAAACAGAAAAAGAGCACACCCTGTTCCACACACAACTGGATGTGTGCTGGTGAGCACGTGAAGGTCTCACAATGACCTCAACAATGCTACAATGGACAGCAGTGACAACAAAAACAAAACAAACTTTGTTTCCATATCCAGAAACAACTCTAACTGAAGAATAAATCCAAACATCATCTGGCCTTAGGCAGAAAAAGCTCCAGTGTGAGACCCGCATCTAATGTGGAAGTTGTTAGAAGAGTTGTGAGTTGTGTACGACCATGTTTGATTCTTTTTGTTACTGTCAGGTTCATTTCCAGACTAATGTGAGCTTAAAACTCTGCAATACACTTGTAGACAGCCCTGTTGACTCCTTGTTTTATTCACAGGTGAGCGCACATGACTCACATTGTTCACAGCTCAAATCTGCATTTTTTGAGGTATTATAAAACAGAAAGAGGAACGTTCTACCTGAAGCAACAAAAATAATGATTGCGGAGTTGGGACCGATAATACAGATGATGATCACATCCCCCTTTGCTAGCAAATTATATGATTTGTTTGATTGTCTTAGATTTTGAGGGGCTTAACCTTAGAACTTCAGTAAACAATAGGAGTGAATTGTACTAAAAACTATGTGAACTTTGATCTCCCTTAACTTAGATGGGTACAAATAGTTTTTTTCTTTCTTTTTTTAAGGCAAAGGCCAACTTGATGACATACAAAAACAGGATGTGCCCATCAGTAAATTTATGAGTAAGATGAAGTTGAAAATTAACCATATTCTTTGAGTAAGAAGAACTCACCACTGAAGATTAAGGTCATTTTGTTAAATTGAGAAAGACAACCTTACTTCAAAAATGTATGGACTAAAATAAACCACCTTGGTCGATATTGGTGTTTGAAAAATCCTCTCCTTTAGGGCAACAGTAGCCAATCTTGCTTTTTTGTGTTTAACGTGTTTGAGGTGTTTACAACTTTGGGTCAGTGACTACACGCACATATTTGTTAGCTTGCGATTCATTTAGGATGGATCTTAATAAAGACTTTCTCTTCAAACCAAATCACACAATGATTTAGCTGAAAGCTTGCTGATTTTCTTTAATGAGTTCAGAGCATCCTTCAAATCTGACATTTTAAGGATGCAAAGGGGGCTGCTAGTGAATTCTTTAATTTATATTTTGAGAACCACAGTAACAGCCAATACAGCTTTTCGTCACACTGAAATGAAGACAGTAAGAAAAACCAAAACCGTTTGACTCCGACCGGGCAGCAGTGTGGCCTACAGAGAGCTATATATTGGGTGTGCTATAACCGCAGCAGTACTTTTCAATGCAAACAGAACCTTATTATAAATAATCATCTGTAGATAAACCCTGACAAATGCCCTCACCTTGATGGTGGCATACTCTGGCTCATACGTGTCATCCCACAGGTCCTGTTCATAGTAGAAGAGCCCATCGTTGATCACTTTGACCAGCTCAGTGCTCAGCTTAGAGCGTGATGTGTGGTGTCCCGTGCGGTCGCCCCCTGGGTGCTTCCTCAGGTAGGGTGGCGTCTGCGTCACGATCAGGATCTTGTTGACGTCGTGGTCATCGATCTCTCCGTCTGTTTCCTCATCTGACCAATCTGTGAAGGTGTTACGACGCCCGTCCATCTGCTCCATCTCCTCGTCGAACATGAAGTCGAGCTCCTCTGGCTCGTCCGGCTCTGCTCCTCCCTGAAGAGAAAAAATGCAACATTAAAGAAAAATACATTTTAGATGGATTACATATTTCACTTTTGAGAACCTGGAATGACAAAGTTTAAGTTGAAAAAAATATGAAGACTAAAATTGAAGCCAAATGTGCAACATATTTTCAAGAAAAACACAAAAACCACCAAATGTAATCTGGTTCGGGCATTTCCGATGTATAAAAATGCTGCTTTTCTCTATAAATGTAAAAATCAGGTATTGGGGTTCTGTCTGCTGTTCACATAGCTATCAGCCAAAATAGTCTTTAACATCCTGAAAAGAGTTGAGAATCAGTAGCTGCAGTTCTAAAAAGAGCACAGACAGACTTGTAGTTCAAAGAGAAGTCTTGTCACATCTTTCTCACTCACCTTATTTCCTGGCGTAGCAGGGGAAGGCGAGGGGCCCGACTTGGGGACTGGGGAGCGAGCAGATTCCTCTTTATCCTTCTGCTGCAACGAGGGTGCCTTCATCAGTCAATCAACACCAACACAGGAGGAGGAGGAGGAGCAAACGAAGGAGTAGAAGGAAATAGTCAGTATAGAATGAATGAATGGATGCCAAAAAGAATTCAAGAATTAAACAAGTGAACAGTAAAATGATTCACTTGTTTTTGTTTGTTATAGGGTGGTGAGTGTTTCAACATCAACCCAAAGTCTACTCCAGTTTAAATTTGTACACTTTGAGTTGAACTTTTTTTTAAATCACTTGTCCACTTGTCATGTTACTTAAATATAAAAAGTCCCACATTTTGAAGAGTCATATAAGACATATACAGTTGATTAGCTCAGTATTGTAATCTACACCATATCAAACAGTCTAGAAGCAGGTCGTTGGCGAACGCATAGAAAATGTCGGTATTATAATTGTTATCACAACTACATGATAACCAGACAAATGTGGGAAATCCCTTCCATCTCTCCTATAGGTAAGAATGTCATCAAAGGGATTTCATTTTTTTCAACAGTTATTAAATTAAATGACATCAATCTATGTCTTTAAAGCAACTTTTGTTTCTGTTTGCAGACGTTCACAAGGCATCAAAGGTCACCCATGATGGCATCAACGAGAGGCTCTGAATTTCACCTTCTCTGCGCTGGCCTTTGGTCTGGCCGGGGAGGGTCTGGGCCTCTTCTTCACCTCAATCCAGGACTCAGAGTCCAGGTCTGGGAGGCTAGCGGAGAGGCCCTTGGGCATCGTCTTGAGGTTGGAGATGTCTGATTCAGTCTTGTTCTGGTGCTTCTTCGGCGTGGACATCCTGGGGGAGCCTGAAGCAAAGACACAGGGTCAGAGGGAACAACTGATATAACAGTACGTATGGCAAAGGTTTGATTTCATCAGTGTGTGAATGGGTAGGTGTGGCCTGTGGTGGTAAAGCACTTTGAGTAGTCAGAAGACTAGAAAAGTGCTATATAAGCTCAAGTCCATTTATAGTTTTACCAGATCTGTGTATCTTCTGTGTAACAGAGTTACGATACGTTATATTTTGCTAAATGTGAACTAGCGGGAGTAAGTAAACAGAAATGAGGATTGGACCAAGTAGGGAACCTTTGGGGACACCACAGGGGATTAGGACAATAGTTGGTTGAAGAATACTTTTTTCAAGGACTTTTGAAGTTAAAGGGAGTTTGGAGATCAGTCTATAAATATTGAGAACTTTTGGTTCTACATTCGTGGCTGGAAAACTGCAGTTACAATGAATGGGGATAATGACTGCTTTCCAGAGAGCTAGTGATAATTGAGAGAATGCAGGGGCCAATAGCATCTGTAATTTCCTTAAGGAGATTGGTACGAATTATGTCTGAACAGCAGATATTATATGATGAAGTTCTATTACGTGATCTTGGGGAAATAATTTAGCACTGACGTGTTCGAATGGATAGATAATTAACTTCATTCATCACTTTATTATATATATATATATATATATATATATATATAGAGAGAGAGAGAGAGATAGATAATTAACTTCATTCATCACTTTATACTTCATTTCATCACTTTATTCTATCCATTTTATATCAGTATTCATACAGTTCTGGTTAATTTACTCCTGTTGTTTCTTATCCATCATTGCACTACGGTCACTTTATCTAATTCTTACCTTACAGTTATATTGTATATATTAGTTCTGTTGTTCCATTATTCACCATGCACCTTAATAACTTATCATTCAGTATTTGCCTACTTGCACATAGCTCTGTGTGTGTATATATATATATATTTATATATATTTATTTATTTCTTGTTTACTGCACATAGTTATGGTTACATCTGTTTACATCTGTTAGTCCTATCACTGTCCACTTAATATCTACTCTTTTATATTTTGTATTTTTAAGTTAAGTTTAAGCTTTAAGTTGTATTTAAATTGACACTTTATATTTAGGTTAAAATGTTTTGTTTACTTGCACTGTTGTTAATTTACTGCTCTGTGTGCCTTTGAATTGCAAATAAAGTTTTTTGAATTTGAATTTGAATTAACAGTTGGACTTATGCTAGCTCTGAAGCCAGACATCTTCTTACTGAAGAACTACAGAAATTCCAGACATTTCAAAACAAATGCATCCAAGCAGGAGGTGGAGGGGGCAGAGGTGACCGAGTGGAAAGCACTGGACAGTACCCTGGGATTATGGCAGTTGTTGTCAATGATATATGAAAATGATGTAGTGGCCATGGTAATGTTTGAACATTGTCCAAAGAGATTGTTTAAAACTTCTAGCCCAGTGAGAAAAAAGGAGTCAAATAAGTTTGAATTTCACAAATAACACTAAAACATATTTAAACTGGATCAAATGAGCAAACACAGAGCTGTCAAACACCTACGACAGATAAATGATTGACTTCGACTATCATCTTTAGAGAGGACAGTTTTCAGTTTGACTCGTCTCTTACCTCTGGGCTCCTCTGTAGACTGCCTGGGAACAAACTCGGGGCAGTTGATGAGTTGGGAGAAGTCAGTGTGTGTTTGGTTCAGCATGGCCAGGCCAGGCAGAGGCCACTTCTCTGGATCCACTTTCCGACGGATCTTCATGTCGATCACTTCCACTTCTTTACTGTCCTTCAAAGCCTGAACAAAAGGAATGAAGGTTTAATTCAACGACCATAATAACGGAATAACATTACAACACACTCTCTATTCAAAAAAGACACAAAGAAATTAATTTATTAAGTTTTAGTATTCAAATTGTTTTCAAATAAATTACATTGAAATCATCTTTGACTTGAAAATGGGACATTTCTTTATTTAAAGTTAGACTGAGACAGACTTGCTTATAAATTAAATCCTCATCCTTGTTAAAAAAGTAGTAGCTCTTCAATGTTTACATGAGATACAGACTGTGCAGACAGGATTTAAGCATCTCATCATTTCTGTTAAACAGACAACTATTCCCTTAATTTAACTCAATTCAATTTTATGTAGAACATTTTTTGTCTGACTCTGCTATAGAAATAATGGTTGAATTATATTTCTTTTTTTCACTGGTCACTTGGTTGAGATCAAATCAGAGAGTCAAAGAAAGCATGCTGACCTCTAGAATGACGTTGACGTCAGTGGTGAGGGCCTGCACTCTGTGGAAACTGGCAACAAGTGCGACAGGTAGGAAGCCCTCTGCATCCATCTTCCTCCTCAGGAAGAAGTCTCTCTCCAAATTGTCCAAGCTGAAGTAGTACTCACTAGAGGGAAGAGAAACAGTCATAAGACAGAAGCGGGAGAGTGATCAAAATAACTGCTACTTAACAAATCAGCACCCTCTGGTCTAAGTTTGGGGGGACCAAAACACAAATGGGGGAAAAAGAAAAGACAATGAAGACAAAAGAGAAGCTGCTGCTAGAAACTGCTGCATTATATAAAAAAAAACTATCCCTAATAAAGTTCCATATACATTCTCTGGAACCCCTAATCTAAAACAAAGTATTTGTCAGAGAAAGTGTCTGAGTAGTTTAAACTGAAGGTGGCTCTTGCGCACACAATCAGGAAACTGGGTTTGGTTCCCTCAATTGGGTGCCACAAAAAACTACCATTCCACCCACAGCGTCTGCCTACAAAAAAAGAGAGCGAGAGCCTAATTTAGCCTTTTCATAAAAGCACTGCATTCCTGAGAACTTCCTTCAATGTTTGGGATGAGCTGCATGTGTGAACACAAATAGCCATATCAGTAGCTTTTTACCGTTCATCAATAGTTTTTAATCAAATGACTAGAATTATGTTAGCTTTATTTTTTATTTTTTTTAAAAGCAAATTAGAGCTTCTACTAGAATTGTATTTATACCTCTAAATCATGTTGTATGGCAGCATAATGGAGAATCTACAAACACAATGACAGACAATGTGTCCCAGTAAAAATCTGATCCCTGGTCTATGGAGAAAATTCAGTTGAAGACTTTAACACCTTTTAAGGCTCATAGTGTCTGTGCCAAAAACTCAGAAGAGGAACTGTAAAAGGAAATATTTGAATAAGCTGTCCTCCTCTGTGTGTCCAACAGTGTAGTGAATAGTTCATCTTTTTTTAGTTATTTCTGAGATCAGAGCTGTAAAAGTTCTCTCCATTGTGTTTGAGTCAGAGAAGAGACATGAGGAGCTCATCATATCTACAGAACGTCTGACCTGCTGCTGAGAAAACCCCTCCTGTGGTATTTTTTTTTTAGTATGTAAGGAAGAACTGTACTCACATCTGCCTCTTGATGTAGTCCTTCAGCAGGTCCTGGTCCACAGAGTACATGTCATTGCTGCTCATGTTGTCGTAGTAATAGGTCACCGTGTTGCCGAACTTCTGGCCGTACGCGCTGTCTTTCACGTCGTAGGACTTGTAGCCGTAGTGGTAGTCATAGTGGCCTTTAAAAGGAAAGAAGCACAGAGTTGGATGGAGGGTCAGAGACTTAGAACAGGTCCTCTAAACCCATTTAAAAGGGCGGTACAGGCATATTAGAAGCTTCTGTATTTCTGGTTTTATTCTATTCAAACAAAGAAAAAACATTTAATGCCATAACAATTAAAGCAGACTTAACAGTTAAACATAAATACATTCTGTCTTTGTCAGTTATTACTGTTTAAGTGTCCTGAGTAATGGTAACAGAAGCACACACGTGAGAGGTGAGTAAATATGTTTACTTTCTACCCTGAGCATTTCTCCAAAGCTGCTCAAAGTTCATGAGTACATAAGGAGATGAGAGGGGCGGAAAACTGGACCTTAACTATTTCTCTTAATTATTTCTCTTTGTAATATTTGTTTTTGTCTTTTGTTCAATCAACTGCCTGTTCTATATCAGTCTGGGGTGGGGGTGGGTAAACAGAGAGTGCATTGGGGGGTGGCAGACAGTGAGGGAGACGCAGACAGTGAGGGAGACGCCTGCCAAAACCAACAGGCCTTTAGAGAAACTTGCTCCTCCTGCTGGATTCAAGGCCGTTTCTCATTCCATTCAACAACTTTCTGGTGGTCGATGCACTTTTTTTGTTTTCAGAGGAGCCTCAGTGAGGCCAGTTTAGGGTCACAACCACCAGGTCTGAGAGCAGATTCAGCCCAAATAAAACAGAGTCAGCTTCACAAAACACAAACAGTTTTAGCTCTTCGTGACCTTCCTGCTCTATCAAAAGATCCTACATTTTACAAAGAATATTTTAAAGGACGGACAATTGTGGAAAACACAATTTTAATACAAAATCTAGATGAAAAGATGAAAAACACTGATGTGTTTATTCTTAATGTGAAGCTACAGTTATAGAAATCCTGAGGGAAACACATCAGTTCCTATAAATATCATAAATATGTTAAATATGTACTATATTTTATGAAGTCACTGCTTTTAGCTTCTGTTAGCAAAGAAAAACAAGTGTTACACAATACACACCATCAGGAACCCTTAAATCAAAAGTTTTTCTTTTGGCTTTTTAAAGGAGTTTTCCTCTGAGTGACATGCTGCTTGTAGCAGAGCAATGAGTCTGGTAACTGCTGACACACTCTGATGATGTCATTTCTCATCTTTACTGACACATACTTCAGCTGAGGTAGTAGAGCTTTTTTTAAATAGCCAAACTCTAGTCACACAACTGTTTTTGTGATACCTCTTCTATCCACAAAAGGTTGTTAAGTTTGTTGTTAAGCTTCCAGTTTCTATAGTGACAACTGAAGTTTCCTCAGAGGGAAAGCTCATCTCTCACTTTTAATTACCTAACCTTGGAAGTCTCACCAGTAACAAGAGGTTCGCCCTAAGACTAAACCGACTCCTCTTTTGCTAGTTTGGATAATGAAATGTTTCTTTCACAAGAACTGTGATGTGATTTTTTTTGTTTATACTTTGGATTGAAAACATTAGTATTAAAAGTTTTTGCTTCAATGCCAAGATCAGAGCTGTAAAAGTTCTCCTCACAATTTTTATTCAGAGAAGAGACATGAAGAGCTCATCATCTCCACAACATGTCTGCAGGTTAGTTCCACTTCCTTAAGTGTGTATTCAAGCCCGGTCCCCTCTTTATCATGTTTTGATCTGCTGAACATCACTGTGTGTTTATCTATCTGTCAAAACAAAATGCACTTTTACCTCTCCCACTGCCTCTGCCTCGTCCCCGGCCTCGTCCTCTTCCACGTCCACGACCTCTGAAACCCCCACGGAAAGGCGCTCCCTCGCTCTTAACGCTGGACACCTCGTCGTGGTCGTCATGCCACTCTCTCTCGTATTTCTGACTGTGCCAGTCTGCAAGAAAACACAAAATCCCATCAGCACAAACACATCAGCAAACTGGACAAGCAGGTCAGAATAAAACTGGATGCAAACAACAAAGATTGTTATTTATTTAAATCAGAGGGTTACCTCAACTTGTAATCTGCTGTACAAAAGACCAAATTCCCTCTAAGCCACTGACACATTCTATTTCCTCTGTGAGTTTAAGTTGTTTATACTGAGCACTATAAAAAAAGCAGAGTTATCAAAGCAGAAGTGGCTAATTACTAAGCGCACATAGATCTGTCCACATCCTGCTACTGAGTCATGCTGTTGTTTGGGCACTGGCAGATCAACAGCTACAGATGCACTTTAATACAAACACATTCAGCACAACTGACTGAAATGTGCTGTCACATGCTCTCACAAGTCAAACACCAGCAGCAGCTAATAACTGCTGGCATTTAAAGCTCCACGTGAAACCAGCACAGTGGGATTTCAGACTCCTTTAATCAAACTTAGTTTCACACACTTGTAACTCCTTGTTGGCCAAATGTCTCTACTTCTGTCGAGAATTAATGTTTACATGCCAATTAGTATTATGTGATGTGTATGTGATCACTACAATGATGCTGAAGCACTTCCACTCCTTTGTCTTCACATCAATGTTAAGGTCCATTTTTTTGTTGCTGTAAAAATAAGTTTAAGAACCAGAAAACACATAAGAAAGGCTGAGAATGATTTGTTTTCAATAGAGATGACTAAAAACAGGTGTTAAAGTTGCCTTCATTAATGAGTATGTGAGTATACTCAGCGATGCCAGTACTAGGGTTGTGCACGTGTACACATGTGCACGTGTACACATGTGCACGTGTAACCGTTAGTAAATCATAACCATTTAGGAAAAAAAATCAGTAAACAAAAACCGTTTATTTTTTATTTATTTTTTTTATTATTATTTTAAAATGTTTTAGAGACATGCATTCAATCATCTCTGATCAAAAAGAACACATACCATTTATTTAGAGATGAATAAAGCTACAAATGTTCCACTTTGACAACGTTACTGCGCTCACAAATGCACGTGATAAATGTTGGATAACTGACCACTGGGCATTACATCACATAATGAGTAAGTTTCACTTTAGACTTGCGATGGCAGCCAAGACTACTCAGCGAAGTGCGGCGTGGAGGTTTTTTGAGAAAAATGAGAAAGGAGACCAAGTCAAATGTACACTGTGTGGTGTACATTTGACTTAGTGATCGGGTCCTGAGGCCTTCTGATCGAGGCTCAGCCCGTGGACGGTGTGAGGCCGGGTTGTTTGGGAATGCAGCCCAAAGCGGGTGGTAAACTCCATCTAAGGCTAAATACTGGCAAGAGACCGATAGTCGACAAGTACCTTAAGGAAAAGTTGAAAAGAACTTTGAAAAGAGAGTTCAAGAGGGCGTGAAACCGTTGAGAGGTAAACGGGTGAGGTCCGCGCAGTCTGCCCGGGGGATTCAACTCGGCGGGTAAGGGACATTTGGCTTTCATACTCATCATGGTAGTTGTTTTATCATAGCCTTGTTATAGGCCTAAAACAAATACATACAGGTATTTGTTTTTACAAATTCTATGGTAAGTTTTCTGTGTTACTTATATAGCCTACTTTATAAAGCACAATTGTATCTGTCTGACAACTTTGAGTGGCGGCAGTGATGCGGCCGCACCCTCCATTGGTTGTATAGCGCGACTGCGGTCCACTTTTCTTTTCTTTTTTTATTAATAAAAAAAAAAGAAGGTTAACCATGTACACGAAAAAAATGACGTCGTGTAACCGTTTACAATTTTTTTGTAACCGTTCACAGCCCTAGCCAGTACGCTCCAGTGTCATCACAGACTTACCTCTGAGGTCGTTCCTGGCGTTGGGGGGCAGGCGGGGGTTCTCGTTCTGTCTACTGTTGTTCCTGGAGGCAGAGCGCTCCCTGGGACCCTCAGACTTTACCTCGATCATCAGAGGAACCCACTTATGCTTGTTTCCTGTTTGTGACGACACAGTGGCACAACAGTTAGAAAAGAAAAACATGTCAGCAGTTTAGTCCCTTATTATTCTGAAATTTCTGTTCAGATTAACAAAGTTTGTAAAGGGTATATAACAGCAGGGTATCGTGAGCCTCTGGCTTAAAAAAAATAAAAAAGGGCACATTTTCATTAACCTCTACTGAACATTGTGTGAGGATTTTTCTAGCAAACGATCTCATATTTCATAAAATCCCCCACATTCTTTGCAGTTGAAAGTTTGGGACCCATTTTCAGACAGGAGATAATACTGGATGAAGGATAAAAAGTGCTGAAAGGATGACATTTTTATTTCTGAGAAAAGGAAATCAACTCTTTTCTCATTTAGAAAAGAAATATATTTCTCCTTTTGCAGATTAACTTTGATTCATTCCCACCAAATGTGGTAAGGGACAAACTCTAATTGATGTCACAGTTTATAAGATATGCCAAAGATTAAATGTTCAAGCATATCTGGAATCAATTGTCTAACCTGTAATTTAGTCACATGGTTCACTATATATGCTAAACCTCCTTTATTCTCATTTATGAAAAATGATACCAAGGCAGTTGACTTGCAGGATACAAGCAGTGTAAAATTTAAAATTCTCAGTCATTTCTTTGATGGATGACATTTAATGTCAGGTTTCCTTCCTGCTGACTCTAATTGACGTGGCAGCACTAAGTCTTCTGCAGTTCCTCTGCTGGCCAGCAGAGGGCATCAGACATTGGCTGTTTAAAGCAACATCTGGTTGTAGGTGTGTTGTGTGGATGTGTGGGTGACAGTGCAACAGATACAACATGCAGTGGGAAAGAGGAAATGACAGCCGGTTTAAAGCAACGTGTCCCTCTACCTATCTGCTGACTGAGTTCTGATGCAAGGACAGGAGAGGCAGAAAAAAGCAGAATGTAGACCAAAGACGCCAAAGAGGCTTCTGATCGACACTATAGTAACAAATCAAGTATTAACAAGCATACAATAGTTCATACAGTAACCGTTCTGGTGACAGGTGTTAACAGTTTGTGGCTATGCACAAACAGCAAGATGACACAACTTTTTTCCTAAAATCAGTCTAACAACTGGCACATTATTGATCTTTAATAGCATATACTGGGCCCCCACTTTGAAAAACAGCCTTAAATCCTAATTCTAATATTATCCCCAAGTGACCAATTTAGAGTGTAAATCTGACTCACTGTAATCTAATCAGCTCAGCGTGATTGCTCGAGTGATTTGTTTGATTTTTAATCTGCTTCAATGCTGCGATCAGAGTTATAAAAGTTCTCTTCATTGATTTGTTTAGTCAGAGAAGAGACATGAAGATCTCATCACCTCTACAGCACATCTGCAGGTTAAGACTGATTTATCTCTAGTACACAAATTTTTAACAAAACGACTTAAATGTATTAAGACTGAATTATATACGTCAACCCCTTACGTTTATGTTTTAAACAGAAATCCTTTGACTCAACATGGAAACTTCATATAGATGTGAAAACAGGAGGAATAAGTATAAAACAATGGACCCTGTATGAGTGTTGGTATGAGCAAATGCTGTTTGTGTGCCATTGATGGACGTTCCAAAACATGGCAAGCGTAGGATCCATATTCACCTTTTTTCTTGGGCCCGTTTTTCTGGGAGTCGTCATCTCCGTTCTTCTCCTCTCCAGAGTCATCTGACTTGGCCTTCAGGTTCTCCTTGCTCTCTTCGATGCTCTCTCTTTTCTCCTTTGACTCCTTCTTGGCCGTTGTCACCTTCTTTGGGCCCTGCAGGTGAAACAGGTTGAGACAGATAGACATTTAGAGTGGTGCTGTGTAAATAGTCAGATGTTAAAACACATTCAAAGAAGAGAGGGATTAAAGGAGACAATGCACAAAGCTATTAGTGGTAACACTTTTTAAAAATGAAATCTGCAGAAACTGGGGATACTGAAATGCTATTACACAAAATGCCATTTGGCCAACTGGAATGTTAGCTTAAAACTAAAACACTTTTTTTATTCTTTGAATAGACATAGATTACAGTCATAGACCGTTGTAAACCCCTCCCCCTAACATGTAATTTCTTATTCTAGTTTAGCAATGCTAGCAGAGGACAACCTAGAGGCTAGTTCTTTCAAGCTCCTGAGCTAGCAAAGTGTCAGATATAGAGAGAAGTCAAAAGAAATACTTCACTTAGCTAGAGAGTCCAAAAGGTTTAAAAGGCTGCTATCTGTACTTTTGTCACAAACTGACTTTTTCCTCTTACAAATCTGGATGTTAGCCCCACTTTAGCATCCTGTTTACTTCATTAGTAGGTAAATCATAATAAATTAAGCATTAGCTCCATTTACTAACTCCCCAATTTATTAAAGCAACCATCAATTTTTTTTAATTTCAACCAGCTTTAAATAAAAAGCTGATCATGTCTCTCTCTGTGAAATCAAGAGCTAGGAATTTCTGTTTCTTTATTCTGCATAGCAACAGTAACTCTGGGAGGGGAGGGGCTTCGCAAGAGTGGCTTTTACACTTCCTGGATGTTTCTATGCCATGCACTTTATATCAGTGAAAAATATCAATGTTCTGTTAGTACATTTACACTCCAAACAGAAAAATATGCAACCATTATCTGTATGAAAAATCCAATGAGTGAATCAGATTTTTTTTTTTAAACAGAGTTTGTACCAGGAGGAAAAGGCTGAGTGTATACAGTGTGTACTAATACATCCTGTATGAAACTGTAGTTCATGGAAAGCATTTTATCAACTCAAGTTGAAATTGCAAATTCTACCTCCTGAGGGCCACAATAAAAAAAAAAGTCCAGAACAAAGCAGAGTTTGCATGTGGTTTCCATTTTTCATTATCTCCTCTTTAGTTCTCATTAGAAGGTTCACCTGCAGCATAGCAACACGAGTGCTACCGACTGTCGCCCAGCCCAGCCTGAGCTAACAAACAGTAACAGAAAGAGAATATCCTTCGCTGGTTATCTCTGCTCACAGAGCTGATATCCCGCTTTAATTCAAATCAAACAGAGTTCGGCAGTTCATCTGCACTACGACAGCTCGGCTATCAGTCACACACGTCTGTGAGTTTTGACACCCCTGAGGGGGTTTGCATAAAAGTCATGCAAAGCATTCGACTCACGTGGAGTAAGAGATAGCACACATTTCAAGCCCCAAACCTTTATGTCCACATACTCAAACATCCTGACATGCTCAGCCTGTATGGTGTCATTCACAAACTAATGTAATCACACTAAACTCAAAGGCACCACTTCAAAACGTGCACTGTGCTCATTTGTTTACAGAGTTAGTCTCACAAAATCAATCAAACAACAAAGGAGGCACAAGCAGTTCTGTTCAAGGTTCTGAGTTATAACCGTTATGTAACAAACCAGCTTCAGAATGATTGTGACTGGACTGATGGAGAGTTGATTTTACAAATTGGAGGGACAAACTTTAAATATTATTGAAGTAAGATGCTGTATTAATCCCAGGCTGCCATGTTTCTAATCATCGCAATTATTCATTTTGGTGACTTTCAGGGTTTACACTGATGGATGTGTGTATTGACATGATTAAGGACTTTTGATTCAATGCTTTTCAATCATTTCTTCTAAAGACTGGAAGGAGAGTCGATCACGCCAATAAAGAAAACTCCCTATGAAAATAAAATCTGATTTCAATTGTTTTTTGCAAAGATTGAATTTTGAATCTAGCTTCTTTGGTCACCCTTCATGTTTCTGCAGAACTAGATTACATCATTTCTTTTTATGTCAAAATGGTCAGATCTTAAGAAGCAAACCCACACAACCTTTAAATCACTGAACTGTATGTTTAGGTATGTTCTGCACAGAAGTATTTTTTATCATTTATAAAAGTAGTTTGTATCTTCTTGTTCCAAACTATTTTATCTGATTTCCCTTTTTTCATATCCATAAACCTTCGTTAGTCGTTCCGCAACCAATATTGTTTTGCAGTGAAGAGTTTGACAGCAGGCTTCAGGGTTTTGTTACATTAGCTCTACTTTTTAAGTTATGCACCCTGTACATTACTTTGCGTCATGACTCAACTCCCTGTACGTCATAGCGACTGCTGAGGTTACATAACAAGCAGCTGCTCTGATTTTGACAGTTTGTACAGTTGCTGTAACTTAATCTAGACCCATGAGAGAGAGCTAGCTAATGCTACCGAGGCAGCTATTGCTAGCTAGAGTTGCTAACACTGACATTTCATTTCAGCAAACATTCAAATAAGATGATTTATTTTTATTCTTTGTGTTTTTATTTGGAGTTGGCTTTATTTTAAATGGTGATGCAACATATGGTTCTTATATGGATATGACGGTATGAAGTTTGATATTCACAGGGACTTGTGCATCAGTGCTGTCTGGAATTTGATGTTCCCCTTCTATATTTTATAGATTTGTCTGATTTTGTTTTCCCTCTCTCACAGTTCTAAATAAACTACACTTGTATGAATGTGAAGGAGATGACTAAGCAGTTTGACAGTTAGCATGCTAGCCTAACTGCAGTCACATTTCTGGGAGGAAAATAAAATTATCAGCGCCTCCTCAATGTTCACTGGGCCAGGCTTTACTGTGTTTTCTGTCACACAAAGACATGAACTGACTTAAAGATATGGCTAGATGCTGCTTTCATTATGTGGTGTTGAATTTGGAGGTAATTAACTTGTTACAGGTACGATTATTAGGCAGGCAGGCTGCAGGTTTCAGAGGCTGCAGGTTGGACTTACAGTGAATCTCCATGAGTCTCTGACCTGCCTGACAGTCGGCGGGCAGGACACGGTCCGTGTCAATGCCTCGATCTGAACAGAGGGAGGAGGGAACAGCAGTTTAGAGAGGACAATGAGGTGGACCATGATGTACACACACACACACCAACACAAGCATTCATACAGTATGTAGAAAAAGCACACATAGGGGTACAAATACGAAGCTAGTTTCTAATCTTAACACCCCCATGTTTGGGGACTTTTCAGGCCCTGAGGTGAATGTTCAAAGTCCCGGCACCTTACCAAGTCATCAATGAGTCTTTCTACACCCCTGCAGTTCTAATATGTCTGCTTTGTGCGAGGGGAGAGTGTAACTACTTTATTATTGCCTCTTTAGAAGCACTTCTGTGGGTTGCTTCTCTGCTTTACATTATGAGGGCATTATGTTTCTTTCTTTGCTATCCAACACACTAAAAAGCTCCCTGTGGGTTTTAAAAACTACATCCCATTTCAACTCAGTGGCTAACGGGCTAATGATGTGTCATTACATCCAGAATGAAATACATTTTTCCGCTTCATTGCTTTGCTTTCTGGACAGATGGGAATATGAGTCGACTATTTCTAGCAGGGATAGAGAAGTGTGAAATGAACCATTAAGGTAGACGACTGTTTAAAGCTCAGGTGTGAGTGGTGAATCTTCCCCCCTGAATCATTAAACGTGTGGGCTAACGGCTGAGAAAATGTCGACAGTGATGCTGCTGAGGGATGCTGATTCATTGCTGTTCACCACAGGGAGGAACCCTGGAAGCTCCGGTTACAGTTGCTTTCACAACCAAAAATAAGAATGCTAAACATGACAGCAGCAACTCACAAACACAATGACAATCTTTCCTATCCGGATACAAGTGAGTCAAGAAAATGGGATGATAGGGCTTGTTCCGTGTTGCTGAGCACAGCTATGTGATGCTTTTTGGCAGGAAGCCTGTGTTCAATAGGTGAACATGTGTTACTTTTACAAACTTAAACCATGCTGCCACTTTACAAACTTCACTGTTTAATAAAGCACTTTGCATGTGTGTGGAGAGGACCGAGACAGAAGAGGTGACAAAGTACAAATCTTCATTTCATCAAAGAAAGAGAATGACAGCTCAGAGTGAGCTCTTCTATTTTTATAGAATATATGTAAACAAAAATTGTGCCTTTAATTTGTGTAAGACTTTTAATCCTCATATACATGAGGTAGAACCAGAATGTGTTTTTTTTACATAAAAGTAATAAATGAAAAAAGTATTTATTTCAAAGGGTTAGTTCACTGACATCAACAATAGAAATGAGGCTGTGATTTATGGTTTTTTTATAGTAACACTCGTGATTATTTTCTTTGCTGGCTGTTATTTAAACTATCTTTAATTAATGATTTATTTTGTGTATGAAATGTCAAGTGTGGTTATTTTTAGTGCCCTTTGCCTCTCTTGGTTTGTACTTTCAAAAGTGAATCTAAAAACAGATTTAATCCTCCAACATATACATTTTCCTCCACACTGAAAATGATTCAATTTTGACATTATAAGCTTAAAATCTTAAGACGTTGCTATGATATAATAAAATGATAAAGACTATAATGTCATTATGGTTCCGGTTCAGACTTCTAAAAATTGATAAATAAATATATGTGACTTATTAATGCAGCGCTAACTTTCCTACTTTGAAGATTACAGTACATAGATTGTTTTGTTCAACCTTACATAATGTAACAAAGAACACTTCCTCAATTCCTCACATTGAACGTGTTGAGCATAAAAGTGAATGATAATCATCCAGTTGATAAACCTTCTGCCTACTCACTGTTTCAGGACAAACAAATGCTGTCTTTTCATGCCATTTCATTTGTATGCTTTCAAGACACGGGTTATCTGTCACTCTGGTGTCACTGAAGAAATAGTTATGAAATGAGGCTACTAAATCTTTATCTATCACCCATAGGAGAAAAGCCACAAGCGCACATTTATAACATAACCCTCACATCAGATACAAACTGTACTAGAATGTAATTCTAACCCACACACATAACTGAGGGTGAGTGTGTTTTTTCATCTACTGTTTGAATTTTAAAACTGTAAAACATAGACTACAGGACAGTTCACTGCATGAAACTTCTGGTTAAAGTTAAACCCCTGGATTTTAAAAAAACCCTCCTTAATCAGTTCTCAGAGTCTGTTTCCCAGCTTATATAACTTGTAGGTACTGAGTGGCTGATTTACAGCTGTAAATGTTATGTGATGTACGGTGAACTCAAGCCCACCAAGAATAGCAGCAGCACAGATCGGGGGGGGGGGGGGGGGGGGGGGGGGGAGGTGGGGTCATTGAAGGGGATCCCTAAAAGGACATCCCATTCCAGGCCTTGGCAACCATCTCCAAACTCCACCCGCTCCTACCTATGAATTCTGCCAGTTATTCCTGGCCCTGACGAGGTGACCCACATTTCCCTGCACTCTGGGACACACTCTCTCCTGGTTGCTCAGACCTGGCTGCCTAAAATAGGAGGGGTCAGCAGGGTTTCTCTTCCGCCGACACACTATCACCAAGAGATCAGTAATAGAAAACGTCTCCGAGGAGTGATTGACGACTGCTGCTACTGTAAGACGACACAAATGAGACACATCCCCATGCAGCGCAACAGCTGTAGGACGAGTAAATATGTAGGGGAGGGGGTCAGTATGTTGGGTGTTTCGACACCTGAGCAGCGGTTCTAGACCAGAGTAGAGCTAGAGCACCCTATATACAGATCAGCAAAACCTCAAACTACTGAGACTGGAGGTAGCACATAATGGCCATTGTTGCATGACTCATGCTGATGAGAATCCTCAGTCAATTCATTAATTGAACAACAATTTTAGCCAAAGTTCAAAGGAGATTATACAAAATGAAGTTTCTTAAATGTCAAAAATAATTAACAAAAAACTGTCTACAGCAGTGAAGCACTTTGTTTCATGTCTACATAATTCTTCTCTCAAATGACATTCTTTTTACACATTTCCATAAAAAGTTAGCATTGATTTAAAGACATGTTGTTATTGTTGTCTCTGAACACTGTCCTAGAAGTCCTGCCACCATAGTAAATCAGAACTAAAACTCCATGTAGTCCTGGCAATACAATAAGCAACCAGCAGGAGCAGACTGCTCTGTGTGGATGATATGCTTCTGTGTAATAATTACAACCACAATATATGTAACTATTATTAGAAAATGACACACATCCATTACAGCACAATGAAACAGGACATACTGAACTGATCCTTTAATTGGTAGGTGATTATGATCATTAGTCACTTGACAGTTCAGTGATTCTGTTTTATAAACAACAACCTATTCCACACCCTCAATTAGCATTTCAATTATTCTGACTGTTACACACAGGCTACTGCAAACAATCACATTTACATACCAAAAAAAAAAAATAGAGTTTAATGCCAACCAACTAACCGTCTACCACGGTGAGATCGCACTTGTATATACACATCACTGAATGTGTGCCTTTAAAGTTAATTTGTCAAACACATTGTACATTTCCATCCATTTTGAGATCCATTAAATTCAATTCTCCCATAACTGCTGCCTCCTGATCTAACAACACATGTGAGGTGTGAGGAGAGGTGTGAATGCAAACTAAAACTCATCAACAGCTCAGTATTTTGGGAGTTATGCACTTATGATCAGAGTCAGAACACAGACCTTGTTTTCTTGCATGAGAAGAACAATCTGTAACTGCTCGAGAAAAAAAACACAATCATTCCAGCCAATTCCAGAGGTGGAAACAATTCTTCCCTCTACATCAATATTGTATTGCTTTTAGGTGCTTCCTTGTCCCATCTGTCTGCTAGCAATCAACTAAATAATGCCCAGTGTGCAAAAGCTGCAGTGTGCCTTGCCACACTAAAGACAGGGTGAGAAACCCCAGAACTAATGTTTCTATGAGCTGATGATCTTTAAAATTGAGCCTTTAAGAAGACAAAAGTGGATACAGGCATCGAGACGCAAACATAATCCTGCGGCCAAAGTTCCCAACAAAAGTTTTGACAAACGGACACCATCCTCGTCACATCTGTGTCCTCTGCACATTGAGCAACCTGTGACTTTTCAGACTTACGTTTACACCAACCTGCATGTCCTTAGTCGCAATTTCCCCCGGAGTTGGCCAGCTGTTGGTGTCACCGAAATCCCCAACCTGAGGAAGAAATGAAAAGACACAAAGCTGGGTAAGCAGGAGTATCAAAGTTATGCGAAACCTGAGATGTTAGAGAGGGTTGTTCATAATCCAATTCAACTTTAAAGGAGTGGTTAGTGTAATAAACTCCTTGTTTTCTGCTCAAAGTTCATTGTGTTAATGTGTGGGGGAGGAAAAAAACTACAAAACCAAACATCCTATTAGATCCACAAGCTCAAATGTTTCATTAAATTGTCTTTGTTAAAATATCAGCAGTATAATTGAGAGGTCGAAAGCATGACTCATCTTCCCGAATGTAAACAAACACTGAGCACGTTTGCACAGCTAGCGTCGCTCTCATGAGGACTTTGGTCTCTACAAATGTGACCAGGAATTCATGTTTACATTGCCGGAACTTATGAAGGGAGGTTTCTGCAGCTCCTGACGCCTCACAGTGGAGGGATATTCAGTCAGTGTTTGTATTTATCCGAGTGCTGAAGAAGCTCTGACCTAATAAAAACACACTGTTTGATTTGGCTCTGAGCTTACGGTCAATAATGACATACAGAAAAGGTGTTTTCTGAATTCATGACTTGAGTTAATAGGAATTGAGCAGCTCTTGAATAACTCACTAAATCTTAAACTGTTCAAATAGCCAAGATGGTGAATTGTTAATATTATTTACTACATTTCCTAAACTGTATTGATGTCTATAGCGCTTCTTAAATCTGGTTAACTTATGACCTGCCTGTTCTTTTTTGATGCCTTTGTTAAAAATAAAGATATTTGTTGTTATGATTTAACTGTTAATTAAGCCCAGTAATCATTATATCATATTTGGGAAAAAAAATGTTTTCCTTTACATCATACAGAAAGAAATGAATGAGCATAGTGTATAATAAAGAGTGTTGTGCCTGAATGCGCTGATACTTTTGGTGAACAGGGAACTGAGTGGATCAATCAGCAGCTCATGAACGAGTACTCACAGTTGCCGAGCTCTGTGTGGCAAAGACTGATATGCGGCTCTTGGCATGTGTCTGACATGGCGTGCATCTGGTGTGCGTTATGAAGCACACATTGTTCTTCTCTCTGCCGAGACTACCCATGTTTTCATACAATGCTTTAATTCAGAATGTTTGTCTGGGACAGTTGATTAGTGAATTAAGTCACTTGTAAAGGTATTTAACTTCCTGTGGGATTCCTGCTAAACTTTCATAAAAAAAATGAAAATAAAAACGTCGTCATACATCTATATGCTGGATGTACACTTTGTTTATCATTGAAAATATTCAAATAAAAGTGAAATATTTTAGGCTATATCATCTTACTACACAATATACACATTATTTTCTAATACAGGCGCACACACACACACACACACACACACACACACACAGTTACCTTTCCTCCGCGTCTGGCTTTGGGTGGGTTCCCTGCTCTGACTACTTTGGCAGGTCCGGTCGACTCTGAGGAAAGAAAATGAGAAGGGCGACGTTACAATCAGCTCTGCATTAATGTAAGAATGATCCTTTAACAGCAATGACTTCAAGTGAACACTGGAATAGAACATTGGACATTTGCTGGACCTATACTTTATGAAAAAAAAAAGAAAAAAAAGGCTGTTGGGAAAAATAAAAGAAATTATGATTTAAGATGGCAGGTGAGCATCTCAACCTTCAATGTGCCATAAACCAGAAAAGAAAACAGCATTAAAAGGAAAACGGCCAGCAGGGATCACAGAGACGCATAAAAGCAGCCACCCAGCAGAAGATGACAGTCATGAGGAGAAAGTGAATAAGAGTCAGCCTGATGGGATAAAATCATTTCAGTAAGAAAAGGAGTGATTTATTGAACAATATTCAATCTTATCAATGTTAGGTAGTAGTGTTAAAGCCAATCACAGAGCCCTAAACTCAGGAGGATATCTTGAAATCAGCTTTAGTCAGACAAATCATCCCAAACCTTAAGATATTATAATAAGTATGAAAACACACCAAGTGTTGGAGAAGCTTTTTGTGTCGTGTTTAGCCACTGAATTCTCATTAATCTAGCATTTTATCTTTCAAGACTAAAAAAACTAAAAGAATACTATTAAATAAGAAAAACAAGGCCAACAACAACACACTTACTATGAAACCAATCACTCAACAACTCAATAGATCTAAAGGCCATAAGAAATAATTAAATAAATGGTTCCTTTTCATTTAGGTCCATCACCATCCCTTAAATTAAAGCCAACTTCATTCGAACATGCATATTCACTCGTACAGATTCATTTGTTTTACATGTTTCAGAGTTGTTGCTTCTCTTACAAAGTTTAGTGTCTTATACAGCTGCAGAGAAATACCTCGCTGTGTACAACATTGTGTTTTAAAAGCCGAGTCTTGCCTCGAGGGAGAACTTAATAAACAACATGACCACTGGGATCAAATCAAGCTAATTCAGTTCCTAAAAATACATAATTTCTAGTGAAATACAAGAAATAATCCCTATTATTGAACAGATTACGTTAATTGATCAGCTCTGGTCATACCTAGTCAAGAATCTTCCCAACAACAGAGCATCTAAACTGATTTAATTGTGCTGATTTGTCTCGTGTCCTGAACTCACAGATCCGGCCTGTTTCCGTCTTTGGCTGCCGTCGCCACAATAGACTATGAGGGAGTGAAAGCAGCTCACATGGACTCAAGCGAGCCGTTTACACCAAAGAGAAAATCTCAGTAAGCTCCTTAAAGACGATCATGTCAAGGGACGAGGCCAGAAACAGGAAGAGAGAGGAGAATACAATCCGTTGGCCAACTATTTCACAGACAACAAGAGGGGCAGCTCTGCGCTTTAACACAGATGGGTTTATGTTTATTGTTAATGTTAAATATGAAAACAAACATTTTACAGGTAAACTGTTATACAGGACAAGAAGAAGAAAATCTGGTTACAAATAGGATGTGAGCTGATCATTCTTTTAAAGGGCCAGCATAAAGAATTACTGCAACATTTATCCGAATGCTAATTATTCTCAATCAGCTAATCTTTAAAGTTGTGGACTGAGAAGTAATTCCACAATCATTTTATATTGGATGATTGTCAAGTCACTGATGATGCAAAAGCTTGATGAAAAGCTGTATGATTATAAAATGAATGTTAAGAGATATAGTGCTTAGATCAAACAAAACGGGAAAATGTAAGACATTACTTAGTCTCAATGAAACTGACTTTATTTATAGTTACAGAAAAAACAGATTATTTTTGCGTCCTACAAACCTTCTGTCAAACACTCTAGCCCCAAACAAATCCATCTTAATCTGCATGTATTGGCTTCACTGCCATTCCTGTTAAACACAGTAGCCCTCTGAGAACCTTCTCATTTCAAAACCAGTTTTGATGCGTTTGTTGTTTCACACACACACACACACACACACACACACACACACACACACACACACACACACACACACACACACACACACACACACACACACACACACACACACACACACACACACACACACACACACACACACACACACACACACACACACACACACACACACACACACACACACACACACACACACACACACACACACACACACACACACACACACACACACACACACACACACACACACACACACACACACACACACACACACACACACACACACACACACACACACACGTCTATCCAGAGAGAACCTCAGCTGCAGTGTGTTAACATGTCACGGTTGTTCAGAAGCTTATGTGGCGGTACAACAAAACTTCACATCCCTGAGGCTAAACTCAGAGAGAAGAAATCAGAAATATTAAAGGCTAGGAATGGACTAGGATCGTTCAACTCAGCTGAATGCAGAACCTACATTTCCTGACTGGATTTAACCAGCATAATATAAGATGAAAATAGATTAAAATACGGTAAATGATATGCAGCAGAAGAAGAGAGAAGTAAAGTGAAAATGTACTGACGTGTGGTTAAATAGTTCAGAATCTCAAAGTTTTCTCTGGATAGAAAATCAAAGCATATCAACACACAATCAATCGGGTAATAATTGTGATCAGCTTAGCTCAAATGTGTGCAGAGACTTTTTCTGTACCAGCATTATGTGCAGGTTGGTAATTTAAAAAAACAAGAAAGTTATTGAATCTAAGTACTTCTTTAGCTGGATTCATTGACAAACTGATTCAGGGATTTAGCTCACGAGTGACAACATTGCAATGAAGCAATGTCAAATTCTTAGCAGACACTTTGACTCTGAAACTATTCCAGTGAAAAGATGGTATCTCTTTTGGTAAGTTTAACCACGGTGTTTAGCATTGGTCGCCATGATTTGAAAACATTTTGTTCAAAACTAGGGACGTGCGTGTTAAGTCAACTTCTTCATCACCCCCACTAGCTGGCACCGTAATTGGTAATCTGTTAAACAAATTATTAATATTTTGACCAACAACACTGGTCCAATGTTACTGCGACTGTAGCCACAGACTGGCTGCAGCATGGTTTGGCTGTACAGTATTTTGATCGAGTAAATGGAGACAGAAATTCAGGTAGGCTTTATCACATTTAGCACCAGCATGTACATTTGACCTTAATTTTCAAGTTTAAATAAAGACATATATAACTGTTTGCTGTAGGAAGGACCGAAGCTCGACAGTGTTTGCACCGCTAGCATTAGCCACACTCGGCAAAGCAAATTATATAGTTTACACACAAAACCTTGTGCTCCATTTTGACTGGTTTCCAAGTGTCTACTTATCCTGAAGACCAGTGATTTAACCACATTTGTTTTTTTGTTTGATTAACTAGGAATTTGTCAGCTGGGATCATCCCTAGTTCAAATCACAATTGTACAAAAATATCCAACAGCAGGCACATCTGAAAAGTTCAGTACTTGGTGCTGGACAAAAACATCCAAAGACAGAGAGACTAAGTCCACACACCAGAAGCTGCTCCAATTATCACCACATGTTTCGGGCTCTCGCGCCCTTCATCAGACATCATTTCTGATGAAGGGCAAGGGCCCAAATAAAAATTGTAGCCTTCAGGTATAAACTCGCTGACTCAAGTGACATCATTAGAGGTAATAGTACTGCAGCTCCGTCTGAAGCCATAAAAAAGATTATGAAATTTTAACATGAGCAGAATTTAACTTAAAATGATTGGAATTCCCATTTAGATTTAATTTGAATGTATTGTAATTTATTGACTAATTTGACATAGACAATATATTAAAAGGTTATTTTATGTATTCATTCATTTATAATGAAACAAACTTCACCTAGTTCCAATACAGTGGATGGGACTCGTGTTATAAGATGTGTTTGTAGCTCTTGTAGCACTAATTTTAAACTCTTGTTCCTACTGTTTTTAAATGCACGGTGTCAGGCCGCTTTCTTTAGTGTCCTTTTTCGTAAGGACACGTAATTTATTGACATTCCCTTAAATTACTTCTAAACATATTCTCCAACTGTTGACTCATTTTTGGATCACAACGTGTAGAAATATGTTTAGTAGAGACTCAACTAAAGCTTCCTGACACCACAAATTTGACCTTTGCTTTATCTCGTTTGCTAAACTGTGTCACAGTCATGTGTCCTCCAGGGATTTTCAACGGAAAAGGCATGATTTCTGGGAAGCTAGAAATTACAGTGATTCACAGTATGAAATGCCAACAATCTGAAACCTGAGCCCATAGTACAATGAGGGTCAGTTGTCCCGTATTAAAATTGTGTTTGTTCAACATGTATTAAGGTAATATAGCAGGGGGACAGCAACCCCTGGCTCTGGAGTGGCATTAGCCCCCTTTTCCCCTCTCCAGTGGCTCCTTGTGGCATTGTTAAAAAAGAAAAGTAAAGCTTTTTTTTTTTTTTTTTTGTGTCAGACTATTTTTACATGCGCAATATCCTGCTTCAGTGGCACGGCGAGAAACTGCACCTTTCCATTGTGCTGCCTGGTATGAAAAGGATCCCGCTAGGGATGAGGAAAAGAGAGTGATTTCTTGCTGTTGCTGAAAGCAGAGCAGAGCAAATGTACCTTTAAGAAACTGATTAATTCTCCATTAAACTTCTGCAGAAGTTTTGTGGTAGCTCAGGAAATCTTAAGGCATGGAAAGCCATTTACAAACCTTAAATTCAGGTAAGAAACATACATTACAATATCAAAGCACCAGATCTCAGACCTCAAAACCATAAATGGACATCCAGCGCTGACTCAAGACAAAGATGATATAGGCAGTTGCTTTGGGCACGCAGATCTGAAGGGTGCTACCTCAGACCCTGAAAACTATTGAGTGCTATCAATAAAGGGTCTGAAGTTAGCCACTGTAGCGACTTTCCTTTAAAAGTTGTTTTAATATGATGTACAACACTTCCCTTCATGGATATCGTTAGTGCTGCTGATTCATTAGCGGGCCAATACGCGTCTGTCCCTCCACATTCCTGTGTGTATGACAGATAGATAGACAGAACGCAG